CGCTCGCTGACCCCTCTGGGGGTCCGGTCATTGCGACCTCCTCCACTGTCCTTCCTTGTCCTGCTGTCCCGTCGGGCACACTGTCAGGTCTCCACCTCCCCTCGTTCTCTACGAACTTGGTGGCGGGTTGTGCGTTTCAGGATGGGGGTGTTCACCAGTTCACCCCTGCCTACGAGCGCGTGACACACTGCACGTGTGCTCGGACGGGCTGTCACCTGGCTACCTTCACTCGGCAGCCGGGGTCGGACCTGTACACACTGACCACTGAGTCCCCTCAGGTAGCGGCGTCTGCGTCTGCGTCTGCGTCAGGTCAGCTGTCTGCCCCCTGCTCGTGTCGCTCTCTAGCGCACAAGACTGTCCTCTGGCACCACCGACTTGGTCACCCGTCAGTGCAGCGCCTTCAGGGCATGCACTCCCGGTACCTTGTCTCTGGTCTTCCTCGGGTACTCCCTCCCCTCCCACCCTCCCTTGCTCCTCCTTGTCTTCCCTGTGTCGAGGGACGGCAGCGCGCTGCCCCTCACTCCTCGTTCCCCCCGATGACTGCTCCTTTGCAGACGCTCCACATGGACGTGTGGGGCCCAGCCCGCGTCCGTGGTCAGAGCCAGGAGAGGTACCTCTTGATCGTCGTTGACGACTACTCACGCTACACCACGGTCTTCCCCTTGCGCACCAAGGGTGAAGTTCGTGATGTTCTGATCCCTTGGATCAGCAGAGCACGTCTTCAGCTGCGAGAGCGTTTTCGTTCGGAGTTTCCTGTCCTGCGCTTGCACTCTGACAAAGGTGGCGAGTTCTCCTCCGACCTCTTGGCAGCCTACTGTGCAGAGCACGGCATTCGCCAGTCGTTCACGCTTCCGGCCTCTCCACAGCAGAATGGGGTTGCTGAGCGCCGCATTGGCTTGGTCATGGAGGTCGCTCGTACCTCCTTAGTCCACGCGGCTGCCCCCCCACTTTCTGTGGCCGTTTGCGGTCCGGTACGCTGCGCATCAGCTCAACCTCTGGCCCCGTGTCTCCGCTCCGGAGACCTCGCCCACACTGCTGTGGACGGGGGAGGTTGGCGATGCGTCACGCTTCCGTGTCTAGGGATCCCGAGCTTTTGTTCGCGACACGTCTGCGGACAAGCTCTCCTCCCGCACTGCTCCCTGTGTCTTTCTCGGCTTTGTCCCGGATGCGTCTGGCTGGCAGTTTTACCACCCCGCCTCGCACCGCGTCTTCCCCTCTCAGGACGTCACTTTTGACGAGTCCGTGCCCTTCTACCGCCTCTTCCTCTACCGCACTGCCCCGCTCCCTCCCCCGCCTCTCTTCCTCGCGCCAGGTGCTGCAGTGGTAGACCCCCTTCCCCCTCAGGGTGCCGCTCCCTCAGGTGTCTCTCAGGTAGACCCGGTTGAGCCTGCCGAGGTAGCTGTCGACTCGCGTTCTGCTAGAGGTGCTGAGCCTGAGCGTGCGGAGCCTGAGCGTGCGGAGCCTGAGCGGGCGGAGCCTGGGGGTGCTGAGTCTGGGGGTACTGAGACTGGGGGTGCTGAGCCTGGGGGTGCTGGGTCTGGGGGTACTGAGCCTGGCGTTGCTGAGTCTGGGGGTGCTGCGCCTGGAGTTGCTGAGTCTGGGGGTGCTGAGCCTGGTGGTGTTGCAGTTGACTGTGAGGCGCCTGGAGGACCTCCCTCTTCGCAGCAGCTACGTGAGTGGTACTCACGGTACTGCAGCCTCCGGCGGGGTGCGTCTCGGGCTCGTGGTGCTACTGGAGTTGGTACTCGTGTTTCCCCACCACGGCGGGAGCCGCCCTCTTCCCCACAGCTTCGAGAGTGGTACACTCGGCACATCAGTCTCCGGAGTGGAGCTGCTGGTGCTGGGGTCCCCGGAGTTGACGCTGCTGCGGGTGCTGTGGACCCTAGTGCTGGAGGTGCTGCTGCTACTGGCGGTGTTGCTGGAGGTGCTGCTCGTACTGAGGACCCGGGCGTTGGAGCTGCTGCGGGTGCTACGGACCCTGGTGCTGGAGGTGCTGCTGGTGCTGCTGGAGGTGCTGCTGCTGCTGCTGGAGTGGAGGACCCGGCGAGTGGAGCTTCTGCTGGTCCTGAGGACCCTGCCGTTGATGTCTCTGCTGGTTCGGGAGTTGCTGCACGGCCACGGCCGTACTTCGTTCCGCTCCTTCTGCAGGTTCTTGGTCAGCCTCCTCCTCCTTGTCCTCCTCTCGCCTTAGAGTGTCCGCCGTCTGTCCAGTCACAGCCACAGTTACCGCCTGCCTTCCCACTCCCTGTGCCTGCTCCTTATACTAGTTCGACTGGAGGTCTTGCTGAGAGACGTGAGCCTGCGTCACGTCCTGCGTCTCGTCGAGCGTCGCCTGTTCGTACTGCTACCACTGGTAGTCGTGTCCCGCGTCAGCGTCCTCCTGCTGTCCCAGGCACTCACCAGATGACGCTTCGTCAGTCCACTGCTCCGCAGCGTGTCGCTCTCCCGTCGCCTCCTGCGTCCTCTCTTCCTGCTCTTGCTGACCCGCAGTCAGACACCCTTCGCGCTGCCAGTCCTACTGTCACACGTCTCCTGGCTACGGTTGTCACTGACCCTTCTTTTGAGTCCGCTGCTGCGTCTGCCTTAGTCACTGAGCTTGTCGACTTTGCAGCTGCGTGTCGTCTAGACTACGCTGCGAGTCTTGTTGCTGAGTCTGAGTCTGTCTGTCCTCCGTCCGTCGGGGGTGAGTGTGCTCTTGGCACGGACGTTCTTGAGGACAGGCAGGAGAAGTTTGGTTGCCTTGCCGCTGCTTTGCCCCATCTCGTGTCCATGCTTGTTGCCCCTGAGGGAGACCCGGATGCTCCAGACATCCCGACCCCACGCTCTTACGCAGAGGCGATGGCCGGTCCCTACTCCTCTCAGTGGCAGTCAGCCATGGACACAGAGATGGCTTCCTGGAAGTCCACTGGCACCTACGTCGACGAGGTTCCCCCACCTGGGGCGAACATCGTCAGTGGCATGTGGATTTTCAGGGTGAAGCGGCCGCCGGGCTCTCCGCCTGTCTTCAAGGCGCGTTACGTTGCACGAGGTTTCAGTCAGCGAGAGGGAGTTGACTTCTTCTAGACCTTCTCCCCGACCCCGAAGATGACCACTCTTCGGGTTCTGCTACACGTCGCCGCTCAGCGTGACTACGAGCTCCACTCTCTTGACTTCAGCACAGCTTTCTTGCAGGGCAGCCTGCACGAGGAGATCTGACTGCGCCGCCCACCTGGCTTCACTGGGTCGTTCCCTCCTGGTACCCAGTGGAGCCTCCGGCGGCCAGTCTACGGTCTCCGCCAGGCGCCACGTGAGTGGCACGACACACTGATGTCTACACTTGCGGCTCTTGGGTTCGCTCCTTCTACTGCTGACCCGTCGCTGTTTCTACGCACCGACACCTCACTGCCGCCTTTCTACATCCTCGTGTACGTCGACGACTTGGTCTTTGCCACTTCTGACACAGCTGGTCTCGTTCACGTGAAGTCCGAGCTGCAGAAGAGACACACGTGCACAGACCTGGGTGAACTGACAAGCTATCTTGGCTTGCGGATCTCCCGGGACAGAGCACGGCGCACCATCACATTGACTCAGTCACACATGGTGCAGCAGGTCCTTCAGCGCTTCGGCTTCACGTACTCCTCGCCTCAGTCCACTCCTCTGCCTACTGGACACTCGCTCTCAGCTCTGCCTTCGGATGAGTCCGTAGAGCCGAGTGGTCCGTATCCAGAGCTTGTGGGCTGCCTCATGTACCTGATGACCTGCACTCGACCTGACCTTGCATACCCTCTCAGCATCTTAGCACGCTATGTCGCTCCCGACCGTCACCGGAAGGAGCACATGGATGCAGCTAAGAGGGTGTTGCGCTACTTGTGCAGTACGTCGGGCATGGGGCTAGTGCTTGGAGGGCGAGACCGGCCTGTTCTCACTGGGCACTCAGACGCTTCTTGGGCAGACGACCAGGCTACTCAACGGTCGTCTCAGGGTTACACCTTCAGTCTTGGCTCTGGCTCTGTCTCTTGGCGTTCTACTCGTTCTTCTTCTGTTCTCAGCTCCAGCTGTGAGGCTGAGATCTACGCCACGGCCATGGCTGCCCAGGAGCTTCGCTGGCTCACCTACCTGCTGACTGACCTTGGAGAGCAGCCTCGTTCTCCTCCAGTGCTGTACGTCGACAACAAGGCAACCATAGCCTTGTGTCAGAAGCACAGACTGGAGCACAGGACGAAGCACATTGCTCTGCGTTACTTTCTAGCTCGAGAGCTACAGCAGCGTGGTCAGCTTCTTCTGCGTTACGTTGCCACTGAGGCCAACACTGCTGATGTGTTCACCAAGGCGCTTCCGCCTGTTGACCATCAGCGTTTTTGCACTCTTCTAGGCCTTGTGCCGACTGTTCCTCACTTGTTTACTTCTTGACTTTGCCTGTACTGTGATCATTATATATATATACCTGCATGTTTGCCCTTGCTAGGTTGTGATCATTGTACCTCTTGCTCTATTATAAAACTGCATGTGAACTGGTCTTGTGACCGCTTACTTGTGCTCGGAATTTGTTTGGAATCCTCGAGATCCACCCTGAGTTTGTTTGCCTTGCTTTGCCTTGACTGGTCTTGTGACCCCTAGGTCTCCCCCACTTTGCCTATGGGGGTGTGTCAAACATTATATGTTTGTGTGGTTCTAGGCTGTAGTGGGTCACACCATAAGGGGTACACCAGGTTAGGGTTTCATATTTGTACTGTTGTTCCTGCTAGTCACACCCATTCCTGTTTCTCATTCTGACAGAAGGGGCTCCCAACTACATTGCACCGGCTTGGCGAAAAAGTAATCCCCACCTCCTCTAGATCTAGATCTGCACTTCGCAGGTTGTGAATCTCCAAAAAACCTCACTCCACACCACAGTTTAGCTTGTCAGGCAAGTTTACAACCTCATCCTCATCATACCCCCCCGTAAGCAAAGAGCCCGTGGTAAGGGAAAGGAGAAGGTTGATGATGATGAGCCATGGGAGGACTTGCCCTACGTCAAGTGGATGAAGGAACAGTGCGAGAACGGCAATACGCGTGGTAAAATAAAGCGGGAATCAGCTCTCGGGCGGGACGGCGCCGGCCCGAGCGGAGCGCGTGGCGCCCACGCAGACAGCTCTGACAGTGGCGGTGACACCGACGTGAGCGATGACGAACTCGAGGAGATCGTCTCCTCCAGCGGATCCGAGGAGGACTCCGACAACTTGAACGCCAAGGACAGTAGCGACGAGGAGGAGTCTGACGCGGATCCCGCAGGCTCGGATGCTGGCCCAAGTACACGCAAGCGCAAACGTGACACGAAAGCGAAGCGCAAGTGGAGCGACGAGGAGCTTACTGCACTGGCGGCCGCTAAGTGGTACACTCGCGATGATCTGAAGCAGATGCGTGGCAAACAAGGCAATCAATATTGGAAGAAGCTCCACGCACACATGAAAAAGAGCGGCGCAAAATGGAAGCGCAACAGCACCGCCATGCAACACGCATGGAAGCGTCTTGAGGCAGAGTACCGTGACACTCTCCGCCACAACGGCACGTCAGGGAAGGCGCCCAAGCGGAAGAAACCCTGGTTCGAGTATGTTTACCTCATTAAGAAGCTCCCTGCCAACGTAAAACCGCATGTGCTGGATGGAGGCGGAGCAGGAGAGACCCACGCTGACCCATGAGCTCCAATACGCGACGACGCCGAGATGGGTGAGGGTGCAATGGTGACGCCCAGGGCCAATCTCCGTGATCGTCAAATCCGTCGGCCCGGAGGGCTTGAAGGTAAGTGTTTAAGCTATCACGTCTGGCTAATCCCTTTTGAACGATACATCGCTTCTTTAGTGTGAGCGCGCCATTTTTTGGAGCTTTTGATTATAACAATGACCTTGCAACAGAGGGAACGCACGCATCATGCAACCTACTCCACCACTCCCCGCTGCAGGCACCCCTTCACCACTACCCCCCAAGCGTGCCCGGGTCAACGAGACCGCCACCATGGCGGCAGCCACAGTCATCGCCGACACAATCAACGGTCAGGCGTTGCGGCAGCTTAGCGACACGGTGCAACTCCTCGTGACAGCCATCCACATGGCTGCCACGCTGTGGAGGGTTCCGCCTCCACAACCCCAGCACGTGGCGCCGCCGCCGCCCGCCAATGCGCACGCCCTCACAGTCACGCCGGGCAACGAAGACTCGCCCGCCTTAGGCGAAGAGGCTGTCGACGTTCCCCACGATGAGGACGATGAGGCGCGCGATGACAGGAAGTCCGACTAGTCACGCACAAGGCGCCATGGGCGGTGCCTTCTGAGGTAAGCACGATGCATGTGCTTCCCAAACTGCTTTCGTCGCTTGCGCAGGTCGGACTGTCCAGCACTGTCAGCATCACGCCATGCGTAGGTCCTCATGCCACTCCGGTGGTACCACGGTGGGCCGTTGCCCATCCACACCCGCCACTGATGCCTGAATGTACGGTTCCTTGGCTCGTCGGTGTGCAGGGTCATGTTGTGCAGGATGATGATGCACGCAGTCCCCGCTCACACACGCGTCAACTTGCTCTCGTGGCGCCGCCCGAACAGACGCCACCTCCCCTTGAGCGCACCAATGGTCCGCTCCACAACCATGCGGGTGGCGGAATGGACGTAGTTATACGTCTGCTCCCAGCTCTTCATCAAGCGCCGGCGGGATGCGTTGACAGGAGTGAGGCAGTAGCTGCGCAGCGGGTAGGCAGCATCGCCGACGATCTGGTACGGTCCGAGGTCACCACGCTCTAGGCGGGCGTGCAGTTCAGACTGCTGGAAGATGCCCTGATCATGCATAGATCCAGGGTGCCCGACGGTGTAGTCCCAGATAATTCCCTTGCTGTCGCATGTAACTTGCAACTGGGTAGAGTAGACGGACCCTGTTGTAATACTCTTGCCTGTGGTTCTCCATCCCCCTTATCTCCACATGTGTGCCATCAATTGCTCCCACCACATTCGGCACACCCCGTACTTCCTTGAAGTCCGTTGCCATCTCGGCCATCTCCTTTGCTGTGGGAAAGCGCACCCAGGTCTTCTTGAACCGCCGGGGGAAGTGCACGAGGAAGGCCTCGACAATCCTGTGCACAATGGTCTTGGGCAGATCGAAGTAGAGGCCTAGGTCGATGAAGGTCATGGCGCTGGCAAAGTACTTGATAGGGATGAGAACGCATAGGTCCAGCGGGATCCCGAGCTTCTCAACGAAGTGGCTCATGGGGAGGGCCATGACAGGTGCAATGTACTCCAGCAGTTCAGGCGAGATGCGGAAGACGTTGACGAAGTCATCGTCCTCCATAATGCGGAGCTCGGTCACCCATTCCGCCATGCGTCGTGCGCGACGCTCCTTCCGCTGACGCTGAATGCGTTCGGTCCTCCTCCGCTCTTCAGCGGCCACCTCATCGTTCGTAGCCTGTGTAGCGCCTTGCATTGCGATCCACTGCAGGGCACCAATGGCCACTGTACGGTTGAAGCTCTCTAGATAGAACCCATATAATAGGTTCACAGCAATGCAGAGCAAGAGACCATCCAGGGAGGTCATGACCGACGGAATAAGGCAGTAAAGAGGACGCGCATATGGACTGTGGGTCGACTGCCTTTGGACCCCGCATTTCAGCAACGTGGTGTTGGCTGATCGGCGCGCAGCGCGTCTCGGTGGTCGCCCTGTCAAGATGAGTCGCAGGTGGTTGTCAAGGAGGTCTGTGTTTTTGCAGTTTGCGAATATTGTATATATTCGAAGCGCGGTGTTTTTACAGCTTCAACCACTTCATGCCTGCCAATTTACAGGCCTACCGTGAGCGTCAAGTTTAGCTGATGCCGGTGCCAGGTGTCGGAAACCCAGATTGTAGTAACCGGTTGGACATTTGGTGGGGTATCGCACGCTTGGTGTGATTGGTTGATTCTTTCCGTGTGCGACTGTCGCACAATTTGATTTGGTTGCCAGGAACTACGAGCCGCGCGCGGTTCGGGCACAATGTTGGTGGCATGCGGTTTTCCCGCATGCCACCAACAGTGACTGCTACAGTTGCCCTGCCACCACCTAGGGATACGCCCTTAGTTCATATGGTCCACTCAGACTGTGTCTGATGCCGCAACGCTATCGCAAGAAAATCACTCATAATTCCTACCCTAGTTTCTCATGACTCCCACCAGTTATTACTCTGGCGTCCACCTGTTGCCTGCTCTTCAGCTCCCTTTCCGGAAACAACTTGGAAGGCTACCTTCCCAATAGCTGGGCCAATCTGGCCCATCTGCAAGAGCTGTGAGTTACTGTTTACCATACCAACTTGCCATCCTGCCATGTTGCCATAGTGAGTTTCTCTCTACAGTATTGAACAAGTATCTGATCCAGGCAGGAGCTTTGTTTTTTTTGAACAAGTATCTGCCCTATCCCTGTGGCTCTTTAAACATTTTTTTTTTTTTTTTTTTTTTTTTAACAGTGACTTGGGAGTCAACAGATTTGAAGGCACAATCCCGGCAATATTCTCGGCCCTAACAGGCCTGACTAAAATGTAAGTTTCTAGTGTCCTCCATGCTTCCATTGCCCCACCCTCACTCTGTTTGTCCTTGTCCATATCCCTCGTCCCTTCCTCACTCCCTACGCCACTTGTTCTGTCCCCCTCTACTGCAGAGACCTTTCCTATAATCAGCTGTCTGGTACCATCCCCGCATTTGCCACCAGCCTCCAGTCAATGTATGTCATTCTTCCCTCCGGCTCCAGTCAATATATGTCACAAGCCTAGCCCGAGCACATTCTACTTCCTATTCTTTCATGATTCAGTACATTTTCAATAATCAGCTTCCCCCCTTCCCTTCATGCATTCCCTGCCAAACCATTTTCTTTTGCCTCGCTGGATCTTCCTGTCTTTGTTTCTGTGCTTGAAGCTCTCAGGCTTTTTCTGTTGGAGGTCCAATTTGCATGTTCTCCCAGCCTCTATCCTTGGTGCTTTCAACCAATCATACCTTCTGTGCTTGCCCTGATCCCATCACCAGCTCCTTCAACCCTCCCCCCCACCTTTCACTCTTGCCCTGCTTTGTATTTTCGAAACCCTATTCCCTCATGGCCTCGCATCCTTTGCTCCATTCTTCCCCTTTCTCTTGTCGCCTCCTGTCTTGACTGCCTATTCAGATTCCTCCATTCCAATGCCTTAAGTGGGCCCATCCCACCACACCTACCGGCACTGCCCAACCTCTCTGAATTGTAATGCCCCCCATGTTTGCCCATTTTTACGCACTTTATCTTCAAACCTCCAGACCTATTCACTGCTTGAGCTGTCCTTCCACCTGCACTATCCGTCTAGCCCCATTTCCCTAACCTTGTTTCACTCCCTTTCTAATCTGCAATGGTTCCTGTATATGGTTGCCCCGGCTGCAGACTACTATCCGACAATCAGTTCACAGGAGCCATCCCCAGCAACTTCAATCGCCTCACTTGGATGACTAGTCTGTATGTCTCTACCCAAGCTGCCCTCCCCCCATGTACCTCTCCCTGCCCCCATGACACGAAACTGCTGCATCAACGGAATGTATTGGAGAGGGTCTCACATGTTACTGGTTGTTCTTTGCTGTGCCTCTGAACATAATTGCAACTTTTCCAGCATTATGCTGGTTGCCTATGTGTGTGTGTGTGTGTGTGTGTGTCTGTGTGTGTGTGTGTGTGTTTATGTGTGTCTGTGTGTGTCTGTGTGTGTGTTTGTGTGTGTATGTGTGTGTGTGTGCTATGTGTGTGTGTGTGTGTGTGTGTGTGTGTGTGTGTGTGTTGGCGCGCGCGTGTGCGTGTGCGCGCACGCACGTGCGCGGGCTCCACATGACAGAAACATTTCTTTCAGCAAATTGAGCTCAGGCCTTGACGTGGTGGCTCAGATGACATGGCTCAACGACATGTGAGTGCTCTCCCCTCTTCAGCACATCAGCTGGCCCTGACTCTACTTCCCTTCCCTTCGTCCACTTTGGCTGCCTGCAACGTCTGAGCTAGTACACTCTCCAATACTGGCTATGCAGATCGATCAATGACAACAACTTCTCTGGTGTGCTTCCGGCGTCCTTCTCAGCAATCAGTAATCTCTTCTACCTGTGAGTCTACTAACTCGATCCATCTCTCAACTCATCAATGCAACAACCCCTTTCATGAAACCTAATCGGGTGGGTGGGATGCATGCAGCAACAGTAAGCGTTGTGACTGCCCCTGTTGTAAGTTCACCTGAGTAATTGTGTGCCCGTGCTTCTGTTATCAATTCATGTGGCCTTGTATTCCAATTCATGCTGGATGACTGCTTGTTGTGTGCATAAGTGTATGCACTTGTATAATTTCATATCATCTGCTCGTTTTGTTGTACACTTCTGTCTTGGTATATAGCTCAAATAAGCAATATATATATACTTATACATACATATATATATATATATATATATATATATATATCTTCACAAATATTATCCTGCATTCATGTGCAAGTGCCAGAGCACGTATGCAGTGGCCTGTTCAAGAGCGAATGAATGCGTGCTTCACTATGTATCTGTTTCATCATCTCCCCACCACGCCCTGGGCTTCATTCAGGAATGCTGGAAACAACCATTTCACAGGAACCTTCCCGGATTTTATTCTGCGCCGCAAGGGCCTTCCTTACCTGTAAGACATGCACTAGTGGCCTTGAACAAAAGCACTTGTTGCACTAAAGGAGCAAAAACGCAAGCAAAGTACCGAGCCGAACCGGCTCGCTTTCGTTTGGTTTTTTTCCAGCGGAACTGCACAGAAGAGCCTTTTATTCGTGCCTGTAATGCATCCTTGCGTGACCTGAAGCAAAGGTGGGTTGCACTGATGAAGTAACTGCTGCCATTTCTTGCAGTGCTTCCTCCTACCTGAAGCTTGGCCAACAACTCATAAGTCAATCGCAATCAAAATGGTAATGGCAGGAACTTGGGCAACAACAGGTTCACAGGGACTATCCCCCGCGAATTGACCGAGTTTGTCGACCTAGGTCACATGTAAGTTGCACTGCTGCGAACTGTAGTCGAATTGAGGATCCTAGACATGAGCAAATGCCAAAGCGAGTAATTCTTCACTCGTTTTCAGCCGACTCGTTTTGAAAACGAGTCGAGTTGAATATTACTCGTACGAGTAATTTTGCCCCTAGGGCCGACTCATTACTCGTTGGAAAAAACGAGTAATATATTACTCGGTCCGAGTAGTGAATTACTCGTTTTGGATCAAGTAATAGTCGACTCGTTTTTGACAGTATATTTTTGTTTTTTGTTTTTTGTAGGTAATTGTACCCAGGCCGTGTGCTTACAGGGTGTGTGCTTTTTGTTCTTTACATACCTCGGGGGACGTACCTGAGAGGGAAATTAAAGGTCATGAATTATTACGCTAAGGTATGCGCGCGCGGGTTAGAGAGTAGTCTAGACTAAAAGACATTCTAACGGATGTTTTTCCTTGCAGATCGAGTAGGAACTAGATCGATTGAGGCGGAAACTGAACCTTGAGCACAACCGTGTACGCAGATCGAGGGGAAAAGTGATCTGCGAACATGCGAATTGTGATGGCATTTGGAACGGGAAGTGAATCTGCATTCGAAATGTGTTGGCAGATCGAGCGGGAACAGATATGCGAACACAAATTTCACACCCCCCACCCCCTCCCGACCCGACCCCCCCCAACTCCCCCAGGCCCCCTCTTCCAGTTTCGAAATCGAGTAATATGCGAGTAACGAGTACTTGTTTGTTGGCGAGTACTTGTTTACTTCCGAGTACTCGTTTTACCCTAAATTACTCGTTACTCGATTCCGAAAACGAGAACGAGTAAATAGCGAGTACTCAATTAAAAACGAGTTATACTCGACTCGACTAAACGGAGTAATTACTCGGAAACTGCAGACTCGTTACTCGCCCAAAACGAGTTACGAAAACGAGTCGAGGAAATTACTCGAATCGTTGCTCATGTCTAGAGGATCCGTTTAGCATTGTGCTTGAATATTTGAGTCCACTTTGGCTCTTGATACCATTGTGCAGAATGCTCAATAGCAACAATTTCCATGGAACTTTCCCATGGGGCCTCCTTGAGCTACCCGGTTTATCCTGGCTGTAAGAAGCTCCAATACCCCTGTTTCAGAATATTATTTTTCTTCCACCTTTTCGTTCTCTCAATGAAAGGGTGAAGGTCTGAGGATGCATACAAAACCTGTTAGGACTATCCCTGATATGTCAAATGGTGATTTGCAAGTACTTTGCTCCACTGCCAAGATGCATTCATGTTCGATGAGTCGGTTTGAGTGCCAAGACACATGAATGCATTTGAGTCGACTCAAAAACCGTCTCGCAGAGGCCACGATGCATTCTTGTGCTTTGGTTGGCAGAATGCTTGGTTTTCTAACTGCTGCATCCAGCCTTCCCTTTGATTTCCAAGCACAGGGATGTATCTAACAACTCTTTCTGGGGAACTCCCACGTACTCTCAGGGTCCCAACTTTTCTGAACATGCTGTAAGCAGTTGAAGAACTGTGTGCTGCCACCACTGTGTGTGCCTGGTGCAGCACTGTCCCTTCATGGTTAACTTTCATGCCCCTGAAATCTTCGTTTCCTTTTGAGTTGTGCAGAAACCTGGGAGGAAATGACTTCACGGGCTCCTTACCAGACTTCTCACGCTGGAACATCAGCTGTGACGAGATGTAAATGTGTCACCTCACTCTCTCTTCCTCCTTTTCCCACTCTAGCTCAATCCTGGCCTTAGCACCACGAGGGTGCAAAATTGTGCCTTTTTATTTCATGGGCGGAAAATCACGTACGACGTTTTCACTTCACCCAAACTTTTTGATTATTTTGGTCTGGAAGAATATTGTATCTTGGTGAAAAACTTTGACTGAAATTTTCAAAAACAAAAAAAAACCAAAACAAAAAACAAAGATATTAATTGTCAAGAGTTGATGGATGCAAATCTTTCTTGCATTCCCGCTGCCAGATCTGTGCAGAGCCTGGGTGAAAGCAGGTTTCTGTAACTGACCCGGGGGCTTGCCAGGCTTGACCCGGTCCTTTAAGGCTGAAATCGGGCCAGGTTTTTGGAAACTCCAACCCGGGAAGACTAAACCTGACCCGACCCAGTTCCCGTCTGGCCCGCCCAAACCGGGTCAGGTCGGCTCGGGTCAAATGCCCATTTTTTGCATGTAAAGCATTGCACCCAAAGTAAGCTGTTGCATTCACACCACTCACGTCAGGCTATCTCGCTGCTGCCTCGCGTGTGTTTGTGGCTCAGAAATCTCAGCGGCAACAACTTCACAGGGTCGATTCCCGACTCCATCTCCACCCTCACCACCCTCGATGGCATGTGAGTGACCACAACAGCCATGATGCCTGCCATGAGCACATACACGTGGAGCTATTTCCATCTGAACAAGGCGGGTTGTCGTGTACAAAAGTCACCGTCGAACCTTTGCAGTGGCACGCAGCCAATGGCAGGAGAAAGGTAGCAGTGGCAGCCTATGCACACGCGCAACTACATATGCTTGATTCGCACTTCTAACCAATATACCCCGTTGCTATTCCCTGATCTGCAGTTTTCTCAACAACAACCAGTTGACTGGCACCATCCCTTCAGCCATCTTCACCATGAGGAAATTGGCATACATGTAAGCCGCATGTGTTTAGGGATCCCCTTTCTAAGTGCCCATCACACGTTCCTACCTCTGCCCAATGGTACTTTCCTTTCTTGCACCAGCCTGCACAACTTCTGCATGCTCTGCTTCTCATCAAAATGTCTCCCTGCCATTGCTGTTGCTCCTCAGCTACTTGGCCAACAACCATCTCACTGGCAGTCTGCCAGCTGCCATCAGCCAACTGAAGAATCTTGAACAGATGTAAGCGTGCCATGTGCTTTCCTCCTCTACTTTTTTCAATTCAAGAACAGTGGCAGCGTAGGAAGCAACACAGGCAGCACATGCACAAGCTTGTAGTACATCGTGACCATAACAGACCTAGCGAGCTTCCACACTAAGAAATGAACACAAGAGACAAATCAGGCAAACATCACCTGTGCCATCCCCACTCCACACTATACCCTGCTCTTTATGCAACCGTTTTTATCCGCCTTCGTTACTGCCAATGCTCTGCCTGTCACCCCAGCTGGTTGGACAACAACAAGATTGAAGGCCCTCTGCCAGCTGGCATTTGCTCGCTGCCCTGGCTGTGGCGCCTGTGAGTACAGTCATACACTTGATCGATTTTTTTTTAGGGGTTTTTTGTCTAAGGACGATTTGTAAGGACATTTTTTGAACTTCTCTCCTGTTTTCATGATTTTGGAGATTTTTAAAATGTGTGAAGACGTTTCACAATTTTGTGTTTGCCTTTCTGTATGGATGTGTGACTCACAGCACGGCATAGTGTGTGCTGTGCTGCTGGCAGCTTCATTAGCAACAACTCCCTCTATGGACCCCTTCCAGACTGCCTCTTTGACAAGTGTATCACACAAATGTGAGCCTACCATGCATACTTTATTCTCGGTACCATCTATGGCAGCTCGCACCCTCAACATGAGCATTGCACAGACATAATTATCTGGTGGGACGGCCTCCAATCAAGCACTCAATATCATCTCCTGCCCTCCGTGATCCCCCTGTACTTCCTGCAGTGATGTGAGCGGCAACAGCCTGTATGGGCGCATCAACCGCGACTTCAAGAACATGGTGACGACCATGGGTGCCCCCGCCCGCGACTTTGAGTACATAGCGGCGGATGACAGTCCCATTGTCAACTTGGCTCACAACTTCTTCTTTGGAGATGGGGTGCTCTTTGCTCTCGGCTGCAAGGTCTGCCCCACTGAGATCAACAAGCCCAACAACCTGGGCATAAGGGACAGCTTTGCATGGCGAGAGCTTGGTGGCAAGTGCAACTTTCTTGCTCCAAATATGCCGGCGAGGGTGAGTCTGTCGGGCAACTGCCTGACCCTCACCCTGAACAACCAGTGCTCATCCAACGCCACCCAGCGCAGCACGGCAGCCTGCCAGGCGTTCTGCAGCATCACGGACAACGGCCCGTGTGACGGCCATGGGGCGTGTGTGCCAGCTGACCCCGCCTCCCCCTCCAACTTCACGTGCCTCTGCGATGCGGGGTACACCACAGTTGACTCGGGCAACGGCTCCTCCACATGTGCCATCGTCCACTCCACCACCAACACCAACACTGGTAACTATCCTTGCATCATTCTTACAGCTCCACATTTCATTCCTATACAAGAAGCAGTAACCACGTTTCATGAGGCTTCTGCTATACACATGTTTATTACCGCCCCATGTCCATTCCTTGGCAGTGTCGTCTCTGTCGACGGGTGCCATAGTGGGCATTGTTCTGGGCTGCTTTGCGGGCTTCTCCCTGCTGGCTGCGGTGGTTGCATGGCTGCTGTGGCCCCGCGGACAGAGTGAGCCCCTCGTCCCTTCTTCTTTAAGTTACATTCAATCTCCCCCATTCCTTCACCTCTCCCATTCTTTCCTAGCTTCCATCCCCGCCCGCCACCTCTCCCAAATCCGTGCACAATAAATCTGCCGCTCCACTGCTCTCATGCTCTCTCCACTCATCTACGCCCCGTATTGTGCGTGCGCAGAGAAGTGGGAGGGGTTGGACGTGTGTGAGCAGTTCACGCTGCAGCAGATGCTGAATGCCACCAACAACTGGTCGGATGACAATGTGCTGGGCAAGGGCGGCTTTGGCGTTGTCTACAAAGGCCGCTCGCCACAGGGCCAGCTGTGGGCCATCAAGCGCTCCACCATCATGACCAACGACTTTGAAACGGAGGTGAGGCATGCCTCTAGTTCCCTCAGCACGAGAAAAGACATCACAAGACGACACGGCACTCTCTGCTTCCCAAATAGTTGATCTTGTTCCATGTGTGTCGAGCCATGGCCTCTCTCCACAAGAGAATACACGGCACTCTCTGCTTCCCAAATGCTGACTCTGCTAATGCATGTCTCACTTTTTCATGCCATTGTGTATCTGCCTGCGTGTTACAGGTGCGAGCCATGGCGTCTCTCCACCACACACACCTCGTGCGCCTGCTGGGCTTCTGCCTTGACCAGAACGTGGAGACGGGCAAGCAGGAGCAGATCCTCGTGTATGAGTTCATGGCCAACAGGGACCTCGAGTACCATATCCACAGGAGCAAGCGTGAGTCGCACTAGCACAATTGTCGAATGGCGTTTGCTTGTTTGTTTGTTTTGTTTTGTTTTTCTGCTAAGGACATGACACCACCAGTCATGAAATCGTGTGTTCTGCTTGGCATACATGTTGCATGGCCCAGGTCCACTCTCGCTGCGCCAGAGGTTGCGCCTGGCACAGGGAACAGCAGAGGGCTTGGCATACCTGCACGGGTTCGACACACCCATCGTTCACCGCGACATCAAGCCGGCTAACATCCTTGTGACTGCCGACATGCAAGCCAAGGTGGCTGACTTTGGGCTGCTCAAGCGCCTCACTCACGGCGATGCTGATGCCACTCGGGTGGCCGGCACTCCGGGCTATGTGGATCCGGATTACAACCGCACCAACGTCATCACTGTCAAGAGTGACGTGTTTAGGTGCGCATGCTTGTTCCTTTGCACAACGCGATTGTGCTTTTCTGTTGTTTTTTTTTTTTTTGGTAAATCTTCCAGGTTATGCCCTGTATTGCTTTCTTTACCACTGTACATGCTTGTTCCTTTCCATGACACAGTGAACTTGTGCACTTTTTGTTGATCCCCTTGGCTATGTTGAGTTTGTGTACCTTGTATTGCTATCTCTACATATGTCTACTTCTTTGCACACAATGGATGATTACTTGCAGCTTTGGAATTGTGCTTCTTCAGCTGCTTAGTGGCAAGTCACCCCATGTCGACCCAAAAACACATATAAGAAAATGGGTATGCACATCAAGTATGAAACTCTTTTTTGTTATGGATGAGAGTTGGAAACTTGCATGTAAGAGAAAGGGTATGCTGATAAGATGTAGAATTCGTCTGACTTCGTTATTTTGTGGCTGAACGTTTATCCTGGACTTCCTTTTATGCTGATTTTCACTGCTTCCTTGTTGTCCTGCTGCCTTGAACCTCCCTTGCTGCTTCGCTTGCTGCTTTGCATTGCCTCACCATTCATTATCCATTCGTGTTACGTGTACGTTTCCCTCCAGGCTATGAAGCTGGTGGAGGCGTATGAGGTGGATGAGCTGAGGGACAGCAAGATGCCGGCGGCAAGCGAGGAGGCCATAGTGGACATTGCAGACCTGGCTCTGGACTGCATCAAGTCTCCCGGCACACGTCGACCCACCATGAAGGATGTGGCATACCGCCTCAGCGCCCTCATTGCCAAGCACTGCCCCGACAGGGAGGACGAGTGGGAGAGTGTCGCGAAAGAAGAGAGTGAAGGCAACGAGGGTATGTCTTCAAGGGATGTTTCTTCTACATCGCTTGAAGACAGTGGGAGGGAGTCTGGCAGGTCTCAAGGCTCGCAGTCTGGTGCGAGCTCATTCATGCGCATTGGCTCGATAGGTGATGGCCTCAAGAGTTGGCTGCAATTGAAGCCATCCATAGGGCGTTGAGTTTGCCCATAATGGCTGCATGTTACCTGCTTAGCACGAAGAAACTAGAATTCGGGGTATAGGTAGGTAGTACTTTAATAAAAAGGACCTGGTGGGTACTCGTCATGCACCAGCATGAATGGCTGGCCTGATACTGTATCACTTGAGAGGCAGGAGACACATTTCCATGAATCTGGGATCTAGAAGCAAGAATGGCATGAGATGAGAGTCAGCCGAGCTTCGTGTTGTACATGGGAGGCAAACAGTACTACACTGAAAGCCATTGGCACATGCATTACATCGACGTGCATACTCCTTGGCTAGTACCCACAAGGCTGCCATTCACGATGGTGGATGGACAGAAACAACCTGGCGTAGATTGCAGGAAACGTGAGTGAGCGGAGCGGGGAACCGCATAGCATAAGTCTGGAATGAAATGTATGCCAAGCCGTGTAGCAAGAGGTTTGCCCCACAAGCAGCCCACAATGGCAGTGTTGCCACACGCCACCACCATCGCTCTTGCCATCCTTATCAGTTGTCATCGTCATGTCATGTCATGTCCCAATGCCCGCCACTGTCAGTTGTCGTTTGAGACGTTTCAAAAACCAACTTTTTGGACGTCTCAAAAAGCACCATCGCTGTTGTCAGCGTCATGCCACGTCGTCATGCCCACCCACGCCACTATCATGCCACGTCGTCATGCCCGCCCACGCCACTGTCATGCCACGTCGTCATGCCCGCCCACGCCACTGTCATGCCACGTTGTCATGCCTGCCACTGTCAGTTGTCCAGCACTAGAATCTCTGCGTCGTGCCCTCTGTGAACAGACGAAGCAGCAGCAGCACAAGGGAAGGGGAAGAGTGGGAGCAGGGCAGGGACGGGATGAAACACAGCAGCAACAGAGCACACAGCAGCAAAGCACACAGCAGCAAAGCACACAGCAGCAAAGCACACAGCAGCAGAGCACACAGCAGCAGAGCACACAGCAGCAGAGCACACAGCTCCTGCCCCGCATGCATGAGCAGCTTGCCCACTACCCACTGCCCCCTTCCCCCTGCCCCCTGCCCTTTACCCACAGTACTCACAGAGCATGTGTGCGGATGAGCAGGTCCCCCTCTCTGCGCTGAGGCAACCCCTCCCGTTGTTCCATGCGCGTACTCGGCTGCGTCTTGCCTCGCCGCAACACCCACCCGCTGCCTGCTTCTCCTGCGCTGCTCTTCTCCCGCCCGCTGCACCCCTCGCTTCTCCTGCCCCCAACCCTCACTGCTGGTGCCACTGCCTGCTGCCGTGCCCTCATCCCCCTCTCCTGCCTCGTGTCAGTCCGTGATCGTAGCATGGGAGGTGGCACTGGAATCATTCCCGCATCTTGCTTCGCACATGCTCCCATCAGCCCTCTCTCCTCCCTCTCATCTCGCTGCTCCCTCGCCCGCCTCTCCTGCCTCGTGTCTGTCCGCGATCGTCGCATGGGTGGCGCCGTTGCTGCTGCTTCCATTCCCACATCTTGTTCCACACACAATCCAGTCTGCTCCCGCTGTTCCCGCTGCTCCCTTGCTTGTCTCTCCTGCCTCGTGTCTGTCCGTGATCGTCGCATGGGAGGAGGTACAGGTGCGGGTGATGTGACTGTATGCTCTCTCACTCCCTGCGTCGCCCCCATTCCCTCTCTCCCTCTCGCATCTGGCATCGCATCTGGACTCAACCCCAGCAACCCCCTTCCCATGGACAAACTCCTTCCCATCCCTCCTCTAACCCCCACACAGGGCCCAATTCTCGCCACCCCTCTTTCCAACTCCAAACACATCTCCACCCCATCCAATCCCATCCCCACCCCACCAGCACCCATCCCAACCGCTTTCTCACAAAGCTCCTCTAGTCTCCTCGACTCCCCCCTTCCGGGCATCTTCACCATCCAAGCACCCCCCTCGTCCCACTCGCCCTCCCTCACTCGCACCTCCCTCACTCCCCTCTCACCAGCCACTGCCAAGAACTCTTCCTCCTCCTCCTCCTCCCTCCTCCTCCTCTCCCTCTCTAACTGCTGCTCCAGCTCCCTAAGACTCGCCTCCTCCTGCTGCGCTGCCACGTCAGCCTGGTGCCGGTAGCTGCTGAAGGGCAGGTGGTATACCACCGCGCTCGCTTTGAGACCCCCGCCCCCCGCTGCCTTACCTCCTTTTCTCCCTGCAGCCTCTGCCGCTCTCCCTGCTCTTGCTTTCCCTGTCGCAGCAGCAGCAGCAGCAGCGGCACCACCGTTATTGGGAGCAGCAGCAGCGCCAGCACCATTGGCAGCCGCTGCAGCAGCAGCAGCAGCAGCAGTAGCGCCACCGCAATTTGCAGCAGTAGCAGCGGCGGCAGCGGCAGCGGCAGCAGCGGCAGGGCAGCGGGTGCTGAATCGCTTCCCACCGGCCAGGAAAATGGGCTGTGGGTGTAGCAAGGCAGGAGCGGCGGAGTTGGCACGACTCAGAGGCCTAGGCTTGGCCGAGGCTGAATCCGAGGCTGACGCCGAAGCTGACACCGAAGCTGACGCCGAAGCTGAAGCCGAGGCTGAGAAAGAGAGCGAGAGCAAGGGGCGAGGGACGAGGGACGGGGCCGAGGGGAGAGGGACGAGGGACGCGGGTGGAGGTGACACAGGGAGCGGGCGAGAGGGGCGAGAGGTGGAGGAGGAGGGCGAGGCGCGGCAGTGGGTGCTGTTGTTGTTGTTACTGCTGCCAGCCATGACTAGGCTTGTCGGTGCATTGCCTCCAGGGTGGTAGGTCACGCTATGGGCTATGCGCTTGGGCTGGGCAGCAACACTGCCGTTTTGGCTGCCTCCTCCTCCCCCACTGCTTCCAGTGCTGCTGCTCTTGTGGAAAACCATCGCTGCTCGCTCACGCTCCTCCCGCACTCCTCCCGTGTCAGCCTGCCTCACATGCCTCTCACTCTGCCCTTGACTCGCCTCCACCGCAGCAAGCGAGGCAGCAGCGGCCCGGCCGCGCTCCTCCCGCGCTCCCCTGCCCTCCTTGCCTGCTCGCGCAGTCAGCTCAACATGCCTCTCACTCTGCCCTTGACTCGCCTCCACCGCAGCAAGTGAGGCAGCAGCAGACTGCTGCCTTCTCAGGCCAGGGGACGGCGGGAGGCGTGGGGAGGGCGGGAGGCGGGATGATGACGCTGCTGACGACGCATGCGAGGGGAGAGCCGGCGGGGATTTCAAGTGCGAAGAGCGGCTTTCCGTGCCAGGGAAGGCGGGGAAGACATCATCATCAGGACTCTGGGGGGTGGGTGGGGGTCCCACCGGTCGCGACCGTCCCCGCTTGCGACTTTCCGCACTCACCGCGCCGCTCACCCGGCTGCCTGTGATCTTCCGCCTGCCGCCCTGCCCGCTGCTGGCTGCCTTATCAGCGCTCTTATCAGCCCCACCAAACTCCCACCATGCCGACGCCACAGGCTGGCCCTTTCCCGCCGTTGCTGACGTCACCACCGCATCATCCCCCTGGCGTTCACTCTCGCCCCCCTCAAGCTCACGATTCCCAGGAGCAGTTTCTTCTGCGGCTGCTGCGGGAGCCTCTACGGCTGATGCAGGGGGGGCAGCGGCTGCGGGCGCAAGGAAGTACTCGGTGGGGTCGAAGGCGCGCATGCGGTTGCGAGGTGACTTTTGAGTTGACTCAAAAGTCACCTCGGCAGCGGCTGTGGGCACGGGGAGGTACTCGCTGGGGTCGAACGCGCGCACGCGGTTGCTCCCCCGCACGCCCTCGCACCGCAGCAGCGCGGGTCGCCCACCCTCCCTGCTGCTGCTGCCACTACCACTGCCAGTGCCCGTGCTGCCCTCACTTGATAAAAGAGATGTTTTGAGACGTCTCAACACATCTCGTTTATCACGCAGCAGCGCGGGTCGTCCGCCCTCCCTGCTGCTGCTGTCGCTGCCACTGCCGGTGCTGCCGTCACTCACAGTGTCACCGCTGCCCTCGCCCCTCCTGCCTGCCTGCGCGTCGAACGCCTCCGCTGCAGCGCGAGCGACGGCAGCCCTGCTGGCTTGACGGACGGCACGGGGCGGCGCAGTGGGAGGGACTGCTGCACCTGAAGGGGGAGACTGGGGGAGGGATGTGGTCGCGTTGGAGCATCTGCACTCTCTCCCCCGTTCTCCTTTTCCCCCCCGCTCGCCACTGTCTGACCCAGAAGCAGATGCAGATGCGACACCAGCAACCACCCGCCCCTCGTCCACCAGTAACATGCCCTCCTCCGCCTCTTCAAACCAATCCCCGTCCCTCCTCACCACTCCCAACTCCTCCGCATCCTCTTCCAACTCTGTTACTAGTCCTTCGTCTCGCCCCTGCCACAGCGCTCGCCGTCCCTCGCTGTCGCTGCTCCCCCCAACGCCCCACGCGTCTTCGCCACGGCCGCTCGTCACAGCAGACAGCGCGGCGCTGCTTTCATCCTCGCTATGGTGCTCCTCGATATACGCGTCCAGGTCCCACCGGTCAATCCCCGCTGCCTCCCCTTCGCTGCTTGTATTGCGCCAGCTGTTGTTTCCCTCGTCACAGCCCCCGTTCGCGTTACAAGCGCGCCCGCTTGCTCCTAACGAGTCATCGTCATCGTCACGCAACCCCCAACTGCCGTGCTCCCGTTTTCGTTGCTCCTCTTCCAAGCCGCCCGGTCCGCTTTCCTCTCTCGTGAGTTGTGATTCCACTTGAAGGTGCTTTTGACTCCAATCATGGCTCGCACGACTTGCCTTCTCAGCGGCCTCAAGGCTCGCCCGCCTTTCCTTCTCCGCCAGATACTTTTCCATCTCCCGCCGCCATTCGTCCACGTCAGCAATGTCGCTCTGCGTGTCGCTTCGATCCAGCGACCGCTGCTGCCAACCCTGCGCCTTTCCCCTTCCGCCTTCCGCACTTTCCACCTCCCTCATACCAGCTCTGCTGCCCTCCGCCGCCCCTGCAGTCCTCGCGCGCGCCACGCGCATTTCCGAATCCCCGCCTCCCCCCGCGGGAACGCGCACCAGCTCGTATACGAACACGCTCCGCTTGCCCTTCCCCCGCCGATGCTTCTTGCGGAAAACGCCGCCTCCGCCACCCCGCGCATCAGCGGGCGGCCTTCCCCCTTCAACGATTAGCACGTCGCGCGCGCGCCGCTCGCCGTCATCGCCTTCGCTGCGCGCCGATGGGAACGGCGTCGTCCGTGCCGGCGCCGCTTTATCCCCGTCGCCGCCCACTGCGCTGCTGGTACCGCCGCGGATGTCAATTCCTAACGGCGACGGCGCCGCGGGTCCGGTTGCTGTCACCGCCGTCGCATCATCAGACGGCTTGCCGGTCCGGCTTCCGCCTCCCGCACCTCCCGTTCCTTCCGCTTCCCCCGCTTCCCCCGCTCCTGCTACTCCGGTCGCGGCGTCCCAAAACCAGCGCGCAATCCCCATCGGCGCTGTGCGCGGCCTCGATTTTGCACGGCTGCGCGACGGCAGCGGCTTATTCGTGCGGCTGCGGTGTGGCGGCGGCACGTGGTTACCATGTAATTCGAAATTTGCCAACGCGACTTTGTTTGAACCGAAATCTTCGTTACAATCCAGCGGCTCCCCAGCGGGGTCTGGGATGACCAGCGACGGTCGTGCGCGCAGGCGACTCTTGGCGGAGGCTCCGACTGTTTCAACAGCTACTTTTGTCGTCTCCGCGCCTTTCGGATTTGCCCGCGCCGCCGCTGGTGGCGTCGAGACCAGCAGCCATACCTCACACGCTGGCGGACGATATGAAAAGTCCCGAGTCCACCGTGACTTGCGGAGATGTGTCCTTTTTTGCGCATGCCCTCCGCCTCCGCCTCCGCCCCGGTTCCACCCTCAGCCTCTTGTGAGATTTCTCTATGATTGCTCGTCCTCCTAACTCGCCGTGAGTCGTGACCGCCCATCCCATCTATTCCCTCAATCGCTGATCCTATTGACCAGTAGACTCGCGAAAACCGTACGTTCGCCAAAGCAGTCATCCCCGTGCAAACGACTCCAAAAAAAGGACGGGCAACGAGGCAAAGATTGCTGAGATAGATAATCCAACGAGGCAAAGATTGCTGAGCGTGTCTCTTTTTTGCCCTCGACGGTTCGAGCCGTGGACGGTCCGAACTGCGAAGAAATTACCTGTTTCGTTAATTTCGTGATTTATTTCGTGATAGTACTTGCGATGTCGCCAACGGTACGAACTGTCGCGTCACTTTTCCCTCCTCCCAACGGTTCAGAATTTGAACCTTCCGCAGCTCGAAAAGCAAACGGACGGTGCAACAGTACTGACTAGATATTGGCTCGCGAGATATTTTTTACTGCACGGAATCAGATTGGCGCACGAATTTTGCGGAGAAAATTTCGTGACCTGTGTAACGACGATACAGTGTCATTACGAAGCTACAGTACTTCGTGAGTTCATGGTCCATGAAAAAGTGACAGAATTGCATCTGGACGGGGCAAAGGTCCGAAATGGCATTTCGAACAGTCCGCTTCTCGCTATTTGGACCGTCCAGTACCAAAAAAAAGAACCGTCCGGAAAAATGCAGAAAATATAAAAAGAGACACGCCCTAAGGACCAGGCGACGCGGATCAGGGCTTCAGCCCCTGGTAAATCTGATTCAATGTACAGAAGTGAGTGATGGATTGATCTGTAGATCTGACGTTGTTGAGAAAGGGCCGAGAGGAGACTGGGGCACCGCGGTGGCAGCATCGTAGATTTCACTTGGCTTGGCTGGCACACGGCTAAGGGCGGTGCCAAGCATCAGGCCGTGGAACTGGTTGTGCTCGACGGTGAAAGTGCCGGTTCGGGGAAAATATCGATCCGCCACCGCACTGCACTCCGGCTTTTCGTATCCAATCTCATGCAAAAAACACAGAACCTGTTAGAACCGTATTCAAAAACGAACCTGAGGCAATCGATCTTTCACTTTCACCGCGTCCTTATAAGAAATTCGCACGGTTCGTCAAAACATTTATGGTGCAAGTCACTAGTCGCAATGATCACCACGAAACTGAAACGCACCAGCTTCTGGTTGCTGGCAAGTGTGTTTGCGGTGTGGAGTTCAAGGACCCGTCAGATCCGCACCATGCTCTTCGGTGCAAGTACCAGTATGCCCCGTCTCGTGTTCATGATGCAGTGAAGCTCGTTGTTGCTAAGATAGCCAAGGCATCGGGTGGGGTGGTTACGATCGAGGATGACACGCTTCTGCCGGGGAAGAGAGTGGATGTGGCGGTTAGGAAACCAATGGATGGGGAAAAACATGCGCTCGAGGTGAGCGTCGTGGATCCGGTTTCGCTACCGGTGCAGCAGCATGGGCAGTGTGGGCGGACAGTAGGTTTTGCTGCCAAGGAGCGAGAGAAGAGGAAGGCGACGGATTATCAACCTTTTCTGCGGCAGCATAGGGGGGTTCGTTTCTCCCCGTTGATTCTTGAGACTTGGGGTTGCTTGGGGGGAAGCTTTCGACAGTGGTTACGACAGCAGGGGGAGGTTCAAGTAAAGGTGGCTCTTAACAAAGGTGTGGGAAGGGGCAACAGCTCGGGTTTCTCGGAATACTTGGTGGGGTCCTTGACAGCCGCGGTAGGGGTAGCTTTGCAGAAGGCACAGGCTCGGGTGATTCTTTTGCGGGCGGCATACACGTTGGGTCAGTCCGAGGCGGAGTGGGTGGAGCGAGGGGGTGGGGAGCAAGAGTTTGGAGAAGGAGCACCATGGGTGGACGTGCCCTACTTGGTCGACATGCGGCTGTAGATGTCTTATTAAGCAATACTTTGTTTCGGGTTTTGGCGATGGTCTTCTGATGTTTGAGGTAGTAAGACATTTCTAGGAAGGGTTTATGCATGTCTGTATGCTTGTTGTTCCAAAAGAGTTGATGCCTTTGAAAAAAAAAAAAAAAAAAAAAAAAAAAAAAACGAAACTGAAACACTCGCACAAAACCGCCAAGGGTTGCGCTTCCAACCTGAAGGCCCAACCAAACGGCCTGCGCAGTGCGTGTGAAATGAATGAACAGGAATGATTGACTATGAAATGAAATCAGTACAAGTAGGAAACCCTAACTGGGTTGTACCCCCTATGGGATACCCCACTACAGCCTACACAACAGTATGAGCTGCATATATGTTCTGACACACCCCCATAGGCAAAGTGGGGGAGAACAACGGGTCACAAGACCAGTCAAGCAAAGCAAAACAAAGCTCAGGGTGGATCACAAAGTCACCACACAGTCCGAGCACAAGAGCAAGGCCAAAGGCCAGTTCACATGCAAGAGTACAGACATATATATAAAGCAAGACAAGCAAGAGCAGGTATATATATGTCACAGTACAAGTAAGGTCAAGAAGAGAGCAAGTGAGGCAAGACAGGCACAAGACCCAGCTGGGTACAAAAGCGCTGATGGTCACAAGGCGCAAGTGCCTTGGTGAACACATCAGCAGTGTTGGCCTCAGAGGCCACGTACGCAAGTCGCAACTGACCACGCTGCTGCAGCTCACGAGCAAGGAAGTAGCGGAGAGCAATGTGCTTCGTTCTGTGCTCCAAGCGCTGCTCTCGACACAAGGCCAGCATGGCCTTGTTGTCTACGTACAGCACTGGAGGAGAACGAGGCGGCTCTCCAAGGTCAGTCAGCAGGTAGGTGAGCCAGCGAAGCTCCTGTGCAGCCATGGCCCCGGCGTAGATCTCAGCCTCACAACTGGAGCCGAGAACCGAAGACGAGCGAGTAGACCGCCACGAGACAGAGCCGGAACCAAGGCTGAAGGTGTAACCCTGTGACGACCGCTGCGTAGCCTGGTCGTCAGCCCAAGAAGCGTCCGCGTGGCCTGTAAGGACCACTGGACTGCGCCCTCCAAGCACTAGCCCCATGCCCGACGTACTGCACAGGTAGCGCAATACCCTCTTCGCTGCAGCCATGTGCTCTGGTCGGTGTCTCCCAAGAGCAACATAGCGTGCAAGGATGCTCAGAGGGTATGCGAGGTCAGGTCGTGTGCAGGTCATCAGGTACATGAGGCAGCCAACAAGCTCTGCATACGGACCACTCGACTCTACGGACTCATCCGAAGGCAGAGCTGAGAGTGAGTGGCGAGTAGGCAGAGGAGTGGCCTGAGGCGAGGAGTACGTGAAGCCGAAGCGCTGAAGGACCTGCTGCACCATGTGTGACTGAGTCAAGGTAATGGTGCGGCGTGCTCTGTCCCGAGTGATCTGCAAGCCAAGGTAGCTGCGCAGTTCACCCAGGTCTGTGCACGTGTGTCTCTTCAGCAGCTCGGACTTCACGTAGGCGAGTCCAGCAGTGTCCGCTGTGGCAAAGACCAAGTCGTCGACGTACACGAGGATGTAGAACGGCGGCAGGGAAGCGTCGGTGCGAAGAAACAGCGACGGGTCAGCAGTAGAAGGAGCAAACCCAAGAGCCGCAAGCGTAGTCCTCAGTGTGTCGTGCCACTCACGCGGTGCCTGGCGGAGACCGTAGACTGGCCGTCGGAGGCTCCACTGGGTGCCAGGAGGGAAAGTCCCAGTGAAGCCAGGCGGACGGCGCAGCCAGATCTCCTCGTGCAGGCTACCCTGCAGGAACGCAGTGCTGAAGTCGAGAGAGTGAAGCTCGTAGTCGCGCTGAGCGGCTATGTGCAGCAGCACCCGAAGAGTGGTCATCTTCGGGGTGGGAGAGAAGGTCTGAAAGTAGTCAACTCCCTGCCGCTGACTGAAGCCACGAGCAACGTACCGTGCCTTGAAGACAGGTGGAGAGCCCGGCGGCCGCTTCACCCTGAAGATCCACATGCCACTGACGATGTTCGCCCCGGGAGGGGGAACTGCGTCAACGTAGGTGCCTGTGGACTTCCAGGAAGCCATCTCTGCATCCATAGCTGCCTGCCACTGAGAGGAGTAGGGACCCTCTACGGCCTCCGCGTAAGAACGCGGAGTCGGGATGTCTAGTGCATCCGGGTCTCCCTCAGGCGCAAGCAGTACAGACGCGAGATGAGGTGAAGCGGCCGCTAGACACTGTAACTCCTCCTGCCTGTCCTCTAGGACGTCCGTGCCAAGAGCACACTCACCCCCGACGGACGGAGGACAGACAGACGCAGACTCAGCAACAAGACTAGCAGCGTAGTCTAGACGACAGCGAGCAGCAAAGTCGACGAGCTCAGCGACAAGAGCAGACGCGGCAGTGGACTCAAACGAGGGGTCAGTGACGACAGTAGCAAGCAGACGCGTGACAGTAGGACTGGCAGCGCGAAGAGAGTCCGACTCAGGGTCGGCAAGCGCAGGAAGAGAGGACTCAGGAGGAGAAGGCAAAGGGGCACGCAGAGGAGCAGTGGACGGACGCAGAGACATCCGGTGCGTGCCAGGGACAGGAGGAGGACGCTGACGCGAACCGCGACCACTAGCGCGAGCAGCACGAACAGGCGACGCGGGACGAGACGCAGGCTCACGACGCTCAGCAAGACCTCCAGTAGGACCAGTGTAAGGAGAGGGAGCAGGCAGAGGAGAGGAAGGCTCCAACAGTGACTGCGACTGGACAGGCTGCGGACACTCTACCGTAGGAGAAAGACCAAGAACCTACTGTAGGAGCGGAACAAAGTACGGCCGAGGCCGCGCGGCAGCTCCAGACTCAGCAGGGACAGTACCAGCACCCTCAGCGACAGCACCAGCGCCACCAACACCTCCAGCGGTAGGACCTCCAGCAGCACCAGCAGCAGAACCACCGCCAGGACAGACAGCAGTAGTCTCAGCACCAACACCCTCAGTAGTCCCAGCTCCAGGAGGACCTGCAGGCCCAGCAGCTCCAGACTCAGCGCCCCCAGGCCCAGCAGCTCCAGACGTAGCACCCCCAGGCTCAGCAGCTCCAGACTCAGCACCTCTAGGCTCAGTAGCTCCAGCTCCAGGAGGACCGGCAGGCCCAGCAGCTCCTGGACCGGCAGCACCCGCACCCTCGACGGTCGAAGAAGCTCCAGCTCCAGCTCCAGCAGCACCCCCAGACTCAGCAGCACGCCGCCAGCGGCGAGCGAACCACTCGCGCAGCTCCTGCGGAGAGAGGGGCTCCCGGCGTGACGCAGCAGCAGGAGAAACCCCAGGCTCAGCAGCTCCAGACGCAGCACCCCCAGGCTCAGCAGCTCCTGACCCAGCACCCCCAGACCCTGCACCTCCAGGCACAGCACCCTGCTGCCCAGCACCCAAAGGCTCCGTACCCTCCGCAGTAGCACCCCCAGGCCTAGCACCCCCAGTAGTAGCACCCCCAGGCTCAGCACCCCCGCGCACAGTACCCCCAGAGTCAGCACCCCCAGGCTCAGCACCCGCAGCAGCACCAGAGTCACCAGTAACCTCTACCGGGTCAACGGCGTCTACCTGGGACACACATGAGGGAGCAGGAACCTGAGGGGGAAGGGGGTCTACCGGGGGGGGAACTGGCACAAGGAAGTCCGGGGGAGGGGGGGGGGAAGGAGTGCGGTAGGGGAAGAGACGGTAGAAGGGGACTGACTCGTCGAACGTGACGTCATGGGAGGACAGAACACGACGAGAGGAGGGGTGGTAAAACTGCCACCCTGGGGCGTCAGTGGGGAAGCCAAGGAAGACACAGGGAGCAGCACGAGGGGACAGCTTGTCCGCAGACAAGTCGCGGACAAACGCCCGAGATCCCCAGACGCGAAACGCAGACGCATCGCCAACCTTCCCCGTCCACAGCAAGGCTGGGGACATCGCCGGCCGAGAGACCCGCGTGTGAAGGTTGAGCTGATGCGCCGCGTACCTCACCGCAAACGGCCACAGAAAATGGGGGGCAGCCGCATGCATCATGGACGTACGAGCGACATCCATGACCATGCCAATGCGGCGCTCAGCAATCCCATTTTGCTGTGGTGAGTCCGGAAGCGTGAAGGTCTGGCGGATCCCCCGTGCACGACAGTAGTCTCGCAGAAGGCGAGAGGAGAACTCTCCGCCTCTGTCAGAGTGCAGACGTAGAACAGGAAAGTCCGAGCCGAAGCTCTTCCTGAGCTGGAGACGAGCCTCGCGGATCCAGTCGATCAGCACCCCAGTGACCTCACCCTTGCTGCGCAAGGGGAGGACTGTGGTGTAACGCGAGTAGTCGTCAACCACCAACAGGAAGTAGCGCTCGTAACCCTGCCCACGGACGGGGGCCGGGCCCCACACATCCATGTGAAGCGTCTGCAGGGGAGCCTCTGTCGGGGGGAAGTGGGAGGAGTGAGGAGTAGCCCGGAGGCGACCCTCAACACAGGGGACACAGGAAGGTCCTGGCCCGGAGGGGAGAGGAGGGAGAGACCGGGGAAGACCAGAGACAAGGACACGGGAGGCCATGCTCCGAAGACGGGGCAAGGAGGGGTGGCCAAGACGGTGGTGCCACAGGAGAGTCTCGTGAGACAGGAGGCGACAAGAACAGGGGGCAGACTCAGGACCTGACCGGGACGCAGCAGCAAGCACCTGGCCTGACGCAGCTACCTGACCAGACTCAGGGACAGGAGGAGACGAAGTGGTCAGGGTGTAGAGACTCGACCCCGGCCGACGCGAGAAGGTGGCCAGGTGTCTCCCTGTGCGTGAGTCCGTGCAGTGGGTAACCCGCTGCAGCGCAGGAGTGAACTGGTGGACCCCCGCATCCTGTAGGGCTGCTCCACTCACCAAGTTCGTAGAGAACGAGGGAAGGTACAGACCAGACAGGGTACCCGAAGGGGCAGCCGGACACGGGAGGACAGTGGAGAAGTGAGACAGGACAGGACCCCCAGAGGGGTCAGCAAGGGAGACCGCAACCGGCCGGCCAAGAGGCGTAAGGGTAGTGCGGTCTCGGAAGAAGGAGCGAGAAGCTCCGGAGTCAAGTGTGAAAGTGAGGGAGGACGGGGGCGACTCAGTACCTGAAAGCGCAGTCTCACCAGTACCTGAGAGCGCAGACGCACTGGCACCTAGAGCAGCAGCCTCACAAGTACCTAGCGCAGCAGTACCAATGCCCGGGTCGGGCTGGAAACACCGGTAACCCACATTCTCCTCACTAGAATCCACAACATACATAGCCTCAAGGATAGCATCAAAATCAAGATCAAAGATCGCTACACCAGCCCTAAGGAGCTCATCCCAATGAGGGATCTCACTGGCCCCGGGGAACTGCGGACGCCAAGCGTCCGTCAGGCGGCCAAAGCAGCGCTGAGTGGCGTGGGCACCCCCACACTGCTCACCCGCGCGGTCGCCGGAACGAAGAACGTAGGTGCAGGGACCAGTACCCCCACCCCTCTGACGCGCAGCGTACCACTCACGAAGCTGCTGGGGCGGAGGGATGTCCCGCGTGCGCTGCTGCTGCTGCCGCTGCGAGCGCTGGCCACCACCACCGCCGCCGCGCTGCTGGGTACCACCCCGACCAGCTCCGCTCCCTCCACCACCTCCTGCTCCTCCGCCGCCGCCTCCACCGCCTCCACCGCCTCCACCTCCGCCGCCTCCACCTCCGCCGCTGCCACCCCCACCGCCGCTGCCACCACCACCACCGTCTCCGCCGCTGCTGCCACCACCACCACCACCACCACTGCTCCCGCTGCCACCCCCACTCCCCCCGCCGCCTCCACCTCCACCTCCACCGCCCCCTCCAGCTCCACCCGTGCCCTTGCCCCCCTTGCCCTTGCCAGAGCGACGTCTCCCACTAGGGGCAGACGCCGCGCCGACCGACTCAAGACCAAGCAGGTCGGCAGCAGCAGCAGAGGCAACAGAGGGCAGCAAGGGGGAAGGAGAGCACCCCTCAAAGATGGGGGTGCGAGGGTCACCACGAGAAGCACCTACAGCGACTATGCTCTTCTCCGCTGCGAGGAGGGCCTTCTCGAGGAGGTCGACGGTGAGGGTGGTGGGACAGACTGCAAGGAAGTGGTCCCTGACTACGCGAAGGGAGTCAGGGAGGCGCGCGACTACGTAGTAGAGAGCGATGTACATGGGGGGGGGGTTCTTAGCGCAGAACTCAGCAGGAAGGGCGGCGCGGTAGCGAGTGTCACTAGTGCGGAGGTGCGTAATGAGGTCAGCGACAGTGGGAAAGGCAGAGAGGTCAGGAAAGAGGTAGGGAAGCATGAGACGGCTCAGTGCAGCAGTGGCAGGTGAGGAGTAGCGCGCAACTACAGCGTCGTACAAGGTCTGAGCACTCTTGTAGTGACTAAAGTGCGCACGCTCAGAGGTAGGGAGGTGGCAATGCACAGCAAGACGTGCAGCAGCATCGCGGGTGGCCCACTGAGAGCGGACAGTGGGATCAGCATCAGCAGCAGGAGCAGGAGAGGCGCCAGAGGTGAGGTCAAAGAGAGAAAGGCCGTCAGCTCTGTCGCACTGTAAGAACAGCTGCAGGTCGTCTAACCAGACCTCAAAGTCAATGGCGCGGCCCTCAGCGTCAAAAGCTAGGACACTAGGGGTAGCTATGGCGACGACAGCGAAGCAGTGCAAGCAGTAGGGAAAGAGCGCGCAGTGACAGTGGGACTGTGCTCACCAGGCAGGGCAGGTCGTGCAGCTGAGTAGAAAGGCAGCTCGGCGACCGGGCGGCACGGGTGCACAGCGGCTCGGCTCCCGGGCGGCTCGGCGGCAGGGCGGCTCGGGGGCACAGCGGCTCGGCTCCCGGGCGGCTCGGCGGCAGGGCGGCTCGGGGGCACAGCGGCTCGGCTCCCGGGCGACTCGGCGGCAGGGCGGCTCGGCTCCCGGGTGGCTCGGCGGCAGGGCGGCTCGGCTGCAGTGGCGGGCCGTCAGAGTGCAGTGGCGGGCCGTCAGGGTGCAGTGGCGGGGCCGTCAGGTGGGGCGGCGGGCCAGCAGGTGAGGTGGCGGGCCGTCAGGTGAGGCGGCGGGGCCGTCAGGTCAGGTGGCGGGCCAGCAGGTGAGGCGGCGGGCCGTCAGGTGAGGCGGCGGGGCCGTCAGGTAAGGTGGCGGGCCAGCAGGTGAGGCGGCGGGGGCCGTCAGGTGAGGCGGCGGGCCAGCAGGTGAGGCGGCGGGCCGTCAGGTGAGGCGGCGGGGGCCGTCAGGTAAGGTGGCGGGCCAGCAGGTGAGGCGGCGGGCCGTCAAGTGAGGCGGCGGGGCCGTCAGGTGAGGTGGCGGGCCAGCAGGCGAGGCGGCGGGCCGTCAGGTGAGGCGGCGGGGCCGTCAGGTGGGGCGGCGGGCCGTCAGGTGAGGCGGCGGGCCGGCAGGTACAGCGGCGAGGCCGGTAGGGTGCAGCGGTGGGGCCGACAGAGGTGCAGCGGCGGGGCCGGCTGCAGCGACGAAGAGGCCGCGCGGCCGACGTGAGGGCGGCGCGGCGCGGCAGAGCCGAGAGGGCGGCGCGGCGCGGCCGTACGGCCTGCGCGACGTGGGGCCCAGGCCGCGCGCGCGAAAAAAAATGAGTCGCGCGCGCGACTCTCGGGGCGCCACAAGGGCAGCGCGACGCGCACTAGGGGGAGCGCGCCTCGGGGAGAATAGGGCGCGCTCCGGGCAGAAAAAAAAATCGTGGGTGGGCCCAAGAAAAAACGGTCCTTCGAAGGGACCCGCTCTATACCATGTGAAATGAATGAACAGGAATGATTGACTATGAAATGAAATCAGTACAAGTAGGAAACCCTAACTGGGTTGTACCCCCTATGGGATACCCCACTACAGCCTACACAACAGTATGAGCTGCATATATGTTCTGACAGTGCGCATCCCCCCCACTCGGACACAAAAAATGTGCCAGCCGCAAATCCGTGAGTGGCTTGCTCCAACACTGATTTTGTGTTACGTAACCGCTTTCGCTGAAACCACAATTTCGCAACCGGTTCCACACCCTTATTCTGGTTGAACCGAAGTGGAATTCGTTATGGAATATTTCGTTAAGGTTGGAAGATAGATTCAAAAGCAGCCTTGTCATACCAATTTTTTGTTAGCCAAGGGATTCTGCTTAAACTATGTATGTCCGGGCAATGATGTTATGTCCGATAAGGTTGTGAAAAACGCCAGGCAAAGAATTTGATACAACTATACACGAAATCGTCCTATGAAACAGTGTCTTTTATATTCTGTTCATTGAAAAGACACGCCCATTTTTCTTAGAGTTTATATAAATATAAGACCTTAGGGTGGTAGATTTGAGGAATTATAGTTTCTAATCTTATAAGTTAAATACGCACGTGTACCGTCACTATGGGCAGATTCAACGCCCTTTGGTTGGCTTCAGCTGCAGCCAACTCTTGAGGCCATCACCTATCGAGCCAATGCGCATGAATGAGCTCGCACCAGACTGCGAGCCTTGAGACCTCCCAGACTCCCTCCCACTGTCTTCAAACGATGTAGAAGAAACATCCCTTGAAGACATACCCTCGTTGCCTTCACTCTCTTCTCTCACGGCGCTTTCCCACTCGTCCTCCCTGTCGGGGCAGTGCTTGGCAATGAGGGCACTGAGGCGGTACGCCACATCCTTCATGGTGGGTCTCCGTGTGCCGGGAGACTTGATGCAGTCCAGAGCCAGGTCTGCAAAGTCCACTATGGCCTCCTCGCTTGCCGCCGGCATCTTGCTGTCCCTCAGCTCATCCACCTCATACGCCTCCACCAGCTTCATAGCCTGGAGGGCAACGTACACGTAACACAAATGGATTATGAACGGTGAGGCAACGCAAAGCAGCAAGCGAAGCAGCAAGGGAGGTGGAAGGCAGCATCACAACAAAGAGAGGCATTGAAAGCAAGCCTGACAACAAGGGAAGGCAGTGGAAGCCAACATGGCAACAAGGAAAGACACTGAAAACCAGCATGACAACAAGGAAGCAGAGAAAATCAGCATGAAAGGAAGTCCAGGATAAACGTTCAGCCATAAAGTAACGAAGTCAGACGAATTCTACATCTTATCAGCATACCCTTTCTCTTATATGCAAGTTTCCAACTCTTATCCATAACAAAAAAAAGTTTCATACTTGATGTGCATACCCATTTTCTTATATGTGTTTTTGGGTCGACATGGGGTGACTTGCCACTAAGCAGCTGAAGAAGCACAATTCCAAAGCTGCAAGTAATCATCCATTGTGTGCAAAGAAATGGACAGATGTAGAGATAGCAATACAAGGTACACGAACTCAGCATAGCCAAGGGGACAAACAAAAAGTGCACAAGTTCATCTGTCATGGAAAGGAACAAGCATGTACAGCGGTAAAGAAAGCAATAACGGGCATAACCTAGAAGATTTACCAAAAAAAAAAAAAAAAAGAGGAACAATCGCATTGTGCAAAGGAACAGGCATGCGGACCTGAACACATCACTCTTGGTTGTGATGACGTTGGTGCGGTTGTAATCCGGATCCACATAGCCCGGAGTGCCGGCCACCCGAGTGGCATCAGCATCGCCGTGAGTGAGGCGCTTGAGCAGCCCAAAGTCAGCCACCTTGGCTTGCATGTCAGCAGTCACAAGGATGTTGGCCGGCTTGATGTCGCGGTGAACGATGGGTGTGTCAAACCCATGCAGGTACGCCAGGCCCTCTGCTGTTCCTTGTGCCAGGCGCAACCTCTGGCGCAGCGAGAGTGGACCTGGGCCATGCAACATGTATGCCAAGCAGAACACATGATTTCATGAGTGGTGGTGTCATGTCCTTTGCAGAAAAAAAACAAAAAAAACAAACAACAAATGCCGTTCAACGATTGTGCTAGTGCGACTCACGCTTGCTCCTGTGGATATGGTACTCGAGGTCCCTGTTGGCCATGAACTCATACACGAGGATCTGCTCCTGCTTGCCCGTCTCCACGTTCTGGTCCAGGCAGAAGCCCAGCAGGCGCACGAGGTGTGTGTGGTGGAGAGACGCCATGGCTCGCACCTGTAACACGCAGGCAGATACACAATGGCATGAAAAAGTGAGACATGCATTAGCAGAGTCAGCATTTGGGAAGCAGAGAGTGCCGTGTATTCTCTTGTGGAGAGAGGCCATGGCTCGACACACATGGAACAAGATCAACTATTTGGGAAGCAGAGAGTGCCGTGTCGTCTTGTGATGTCTTTTCTCGTGCTGAGGGAACTAGAGGCATGCCTCACCTCCGTTTCAAAGTCGTTGGTCATGATGGTGGATCGCTTGATGGCCCACAGCTGGCCCTGTGGCGAGCGGCCTTTGTAAACAATGCCAAAGCCTCCCTTGCCCAGCACATTGCCCTCCGACCAGTTGCTTGGTGGCACTCAGCATCTGCTGCAGCGAGAACTGCTCACACACGTCCAACCCCTCCCACTTCTCTGCGCACGCACAATACGGGGTGTAGATGAGTGGAGAGAGCATGAGAGCAGTGGAGAGGCAGATTTATTGTGCACGGATTTGGGAGAGGTGGCGGGCGGGGATGGAAGCTAGGAAAGAAGAATGGGAGAGGTGAAGGAATGGGGGAGATTGAATGTAACTTAAAGAAGAAGGGACGAGGGGCTCACTTGGTCCGCGGGGCCACAGCAGCCATGCGACCACCGCAGCTAGCAGAGTGAAGCCAGCAAAGCAGCCCAGAACAATGCCCACTATGGCACCCGTCGACAGAGACGACACTGCCAAGGAAGGGACATGGGGCGTGATAAACGTCTGTGTAGCAGAAGCCTCATGAAACGTGATTATTGGTGCATAAAATAGGAATGAAATGTGGAGCTGTAAGAATAAAGCAAGGGTTACCAGTGTTGGTGGTGGTGGTGGAGTGGACGATGGCACATGTGGACGAGCCGTTGCTCGAGTCGACTGTGGTGTACCCCCCATCGCAGAGGCACGTGAAGTTGAAGGGGGAGGCAGGGTCAGCCGGTAAACAGGCCCCATGGCCGTCACACGGGCCGTTGTCCGTGATGCTGCAGAACGCCTGGCAGGCTGCCGTGCTGCGCTGGGTGGCGTTGGATGAGCACTTGCTGTTCGGGGTGAGCGTCAGGCAGTTGCCCGACAGACTCACCCTCGCCGGCATATCTAGAGCAAGAATGCCGCACTTGCCACCAAGCTTTTGCCATGCAAATGTGTCCCTGGTGCCCATGTTGTTGGGCTCGTTGATCTCAGTGGGGCAGACCTTGCAGCCGGCAGCAAAGAGCACCCCATCTCCAAAGAAGAAGTTGTGAGCCAAGTTGATGAGGGCATTGTCATCCGCCGCTTTGCTCTCAAATTCGCGGGCTGGGGCACCCATGGTCGTCACCATGTTCTTGAAGTCGCGGTTGATGCGCCCATACAGGCTGTTGCCGCTCACATCACTGCGGAAAGCACAGGGAGTTCGCGGAGGGCAGAAGATTATATTGAGTATTTGGTCGGCGGCCGTCCCACCAGATAGAGGTGTCTGTGCAATGCCCATGTTGAGGGTGCAAGCTGTCATGGATGGTTCTGAGAATAGAGTATGCACGGTAGGCTCACATTTGTGTGATACACTTGTCAAAGAGGCAGTCTGGAAGAGGTCCGTAGAGGTAATTGTTGCTGATCAAGCTGCCAGCAGCACATCACACACCATGCCGCGCCGTGAGTCACACACCCATACAGAAAGGCAGATACACAAAAGTGAAACTACTTCACACATTTTAACAATCTCCAGAAGCATGAAAATAGGAGAGAAGCTGAAATTAAAAGGTCCTTAAAAAAAACCCTAATAAAAATTTGATCATCTGTATGACTGTCCCTCATAAGCGTCATAGCCTCATGGCACATTCTATCTGACTGTCACTCACAGGCGCCACAGCCACGGCAGCGAGCACAGGCCGGTTGGCAGAGGGCCTTCAATCTTGTTGTTGTCCAACCAGCTGGGGAGACAGGCAGAGCATTGGCAGGAACAAAGACGGGAACGGTTGCATAAAGAACAGGGGGTGGAGTGGGGATGGCACAGGTGATGTTTGCGTGTTTCGGTCTCTTGTGTTCATTTCATAGTGTGGAAGCTTGCTGGGTCTGTTATGGTCACGATGTACTGCAAGCTTGTGCTTGTGGTGCCTGTGTTGCTTCCTAAGCTGCCACTGTTCTTAAAAAAAGTAGAGGAAACCACATGGCACGCTTACATCTGTTCAAGATTCTTCAGTTTGCTGATGGCAGCTGGCAGACTGCCAGTGAGATGGTTGTTGGCCAAGTAGCTGGCGGGGGCAGTGGTGATGGCAGGAAGAGAGTGTGATGAGTAGCAGCGTATGCAAGTGCGGGCTGATGGCAGCTGGCAGACTGCCAGTGCGATGGTTGTTGGCCAAGTAGCTGAAGAGCAACAGCAACGGCAGGGAGACATTCGGATGAGAAACAGAGCATGCAAGAGTTGTGCAGGACTTGTGCAAGAAAGGAAAGTATCGTTGGGCAGAGGTAGAAACGTGTGATGGGCACTCAGAAAGGGGATCCCTAAACACATGAGGCTTACAGGTATGCCAATTTCCTCATGGTGAAGACGGCTGAAGGGATGGTGCCAGTTAGCTGGTTGTTGTTGAGAAAACTGCAGAGCAGGGAAATAGCAACGGGGTACATTGGTTGAAAGTGCGAATTAAGCATGTGTTGCTGCGTGTGTGTGCATAGATAGACGGCCACTGCTACCTTTCTTCTGCTATTGGCTGCAGATGGAAATAGCTCCTCGCATATGTGACTTTTGGGTCGACTCAAAAGTCACCTCGTTGCATAGGCTGCCACTGCTACAATTCTTCTGCCATTGTCCTCATGGCAGGCATTATGGCTGTTGTGGCACAAGAAGAGGAGAGAAGCCTCACATGCCACTGAGGGTCGTGAGGGTGGAGATGGAGTCGGGAATCGATCCTGTGAAGTTGTTGCCGCTGAGATTTCTGAGCCACAAACACAGGTGAGGCAGCAGCGAGATAGCCTGTCAGCGGGGTGAACACAACAGCTTACTATGGGTGCAATGCACTACATCCAAAGAGGAGCATTTGACCCGACCCGACCTGGCCCGAGTGGGCTAGGCGGGTACCGGGTCGGGTCAGGTCTGGTCTTCCCGGGTCGGAGTTTCCAAAAAACTGAACCAATTTGGCCTTAAGGGACCGGGTCAAGCCTGGCAAGCCAACGGGGCAGGTACAGAAACCTGCTTTCACCCAGGCTCTGCACAGATCTGGCAGCGGGAATGCAGGTAAGATTGCATCCATCGTCTCTTGACAATTTATATCTAATATTTCTTTCTTTCTATTTTGAAAATTTTCTTTTCACCAGGATAAAATATTTTTCCAGACCAAAGTTAACAAAAGGTTTGGGTGAAAACATTGTACGTGGTTTTTTCGCCCAAAATATGAAATAAGAGGTGCAATTCTGCACCCTGGTGGTGCTAAGGGCAAGATTGAGCAAGCGTTGTTTACAGTGGGAAAAGGAGGAAGAGAGTGTGAGAAGACATATTTACATCTCTGCACAAGTGACGTTCCAGTGTGAGAAGTCTGGTAAGGAGCCCGTGAAGTCATTTCCTCCCAGGTTACTGCACAACTCAAAAAGAGACGAAATTTTCAGGGGCATAGAAGTTAACCATGAAGGGACAGTGCTGCACCAGGCACACACAATGGTGACAATACAAACAGTGGTGGCAGCACGCAGTGCTTCAAATTCTTACAGCATGTCAAGAGAATTTTCGACGCTGAGAGTACGTGGGAGTTCCCCAGAAAGAGAGTTGTTAGATACATCCCTGCGCTCGGAAATCAAAGGGAAGGCTGGATGCAGAAGTTAGAAATCCAAGCATACTGCCAACCGACACACAAGAATGCATCGTGGCCTCTGCGAGACAGTTTTATAGTCGACTCGAATGCATTCATGTGTTTTGGCACTCAAAAACCGGCTCATCGCACATGAATGCATCTTGGCAGTGGAGCAAAGTACTTGCAAATTACCATTTGACATATCAGGGATAGTCCTATCTAGTTTTGTATGCATGCTCAGACCTTCTTCATTGAGAGAAGGACAAGGTGGAAGAAAATAATAATTTCTGAAACACGTGTATTGGAGCTACTTACAGCAAGAACAAACCGGTTAGCTCAAGCAGGCCCCACAGGATAGTTCCATAGAATTTGTTGCTATTGAAATTTCTGCACAATGGTATCAAGAGCCAAGTGACCTCAAATATTCAAGCACAATGCTAAACGGATCCTCAAACCCGCTACAGTTCGCAGCAGTGCAACTTACATGTGATATAGGTTGACAAGCTCGGTCAACTCGCGGGGGATAGTCCCTGTGAAACTGTTGTTGCCCAAGTTCCTGCCATGACCATTTTGATTGTGATTGCCTTTTAAGCTGTTGGCCAAGCTTCAGGTAGGAGGAAGTACTACAAGAGATGGCAGCAGTTACTTCATCAGTGCAACCCACCTTTGTTTGAGGTCACGCATGGATGCATTACAAGCACGAATAAGAGGCTCTTCTGTGCAGTTTCGCTGGAAACAGACTAAACGAGAGCTAGCCGGTTCGGCTCGGTACTTTGATTGCTTTGCTTGCTTTTTTGCTCCTTAAGTGCAACAAGTGCTTTTGTTCAAGGCCACAAGCGCATGTCTTACAGGAAAGGAAGGCCCTTGAGGCGCAGAATAAAATCCGGGAAGGTTCCTGTAAAATGGTTGTTTCCAACATCCCTGAATGAGGCCCAGGGCGTGGTGGGGAAATAATGAAACAAATACCTAGTGAAGCACGCATTCATTCGCTCATGTACAGGTCACTGCATACATGCACGAACACTTGCACATGAATGAAGATATATTTATATATATATATATACATATATATATATATCTTGCTTATATTATATGAGCTATACACCAAGACAGAAGTGTACAACACAACAAGCAGAAATATGAAATTATACAAGTGCATACACTTATGCACACAACAAACGCTCATCCACCATGCATTGGAATACAAGGCTACATGAATTAATTACAGAAGCACGGGCACACAAAATACTCAGGTGAACTTAGAACAGGGGCAGTCACAACGCTTACTGTTGCTGCATGCATCCCACCCACCCGATAAGGTTTCATGAAAGGGGTTGTTGCATTGAAGTTGAGAGATGGATTGATTATACTCACAGGTAGGCGAGATTACTGATTGCTGTGAAGGCCGCGGGAAGCACACCCGAGAAGTTGTTGTCATTGATCGATCTGCATAGCCGGTATTGGAGAGAGTGTCCTAGCTCAGATGTTGCAGGCAGCCAAAGTGGACCAACGGAAGGGAAGCAGGGTCAGGGCCAAGTGAGGTGCTTAAGAGGGGAGAGCACTCACATGTCGTTGAGCACTCACATGACGTTGAGCACTCACATGACGTTGAGCCATGTCATCTGAGCCACCACGTCAAGGCCTGAGCTTAAATTGTTGAATGGAACGTTTCTGTCACGTGGAGCCCGCGCACGTTCGCGCGCGCACGCACATGCACACGCGCGCGCCAACACACACACACACACACACACACACACACACACACACACACACACACACACACACACACACAGACACACAGACACACACACACACACACACACACAAACACACACACACACACACACACACACACACACACACACACACACACACACACACACAGACAACCAGCATAATGCTGGGAAAGTTGCAATTATGTTCAAACGAGGCGCAGCAAAGAACAATCAGTAACATGTGACAACCTACATTACATTCCGTTCATGCAGCAGTTTCGTGTCATGGGGGTGGGGAGAGGTACATGGGGGGAGTGCAGCTTGGGGAGAGACATACAGACTATTCATCCAAGTGAGGCGAGTGAAGTTGCTGGGGATGGCTCCTGTGAACTGATTGTGGGATAGTTGACTGCAGCAAGGGCAGCCGAACAGGAATTATTGCAGATTAGAAATGGAGTGACACAAGATTCGAGAAATGGGGTGAGGCGGAGAGTGCAGGTGGGAGGAGAGCCCAAGGGGTGAATAGGTCTGGAGGTTAGAAGATGAGTGCGTAAAAATGGGCAAACATGGGGGGCTCACAGATAAGAGAGGTTGGGCAGTGACGGTAGGTGTGGTGGGATGGGCCCACTGAAGGCATTGGATTGGAGGAATCTGGATAGGCAGTCAAGACAGGAGGCGACAAGGGAAAGGGGAAGAATGGAGCAAAGGATGCGAGGCCATGGGGAATAGGGTTCCGAAAATACAAAGCAGGGCAAGAGTGAAAGGTGCGGGGGAGGGTTGAAGGAGCTGGTGGTGAGATCAGGACAAGAAGGGGGGGATGGAAAACTGAAGTGGGGGAGATGAAAGAAAGAGAGGGGCGGTGAAAGTGGAAATAATGTAGAGATAAAAAAACAAGTAGCAGGAATACTTTTGAGTCTTCCCGCGGGAATGGGGGATTAGGGTGCGTGTTCTGGTTTGGCATGGCAGGGTAAGGCAGGAAGCCATGCAGCAGCCGTTGTTGAAATGTTGGTGGTGCAGCAGATGTGAGCAGCCGTTGTTGAAATGTTGGTGGTGCAGCAGATGTGGGATATCGAACCAGCAACGATGGGATTGGGAATAACATAGGGTTATTGGAAGTGGTTCGTGTTATGCCCGCGACGAGATCTGGAGTAGTTCTCGGGGCAGCCTCGTGACATGGCATGGAGCTCGATGAAATCAGGCATTTGTTTGTAAACCTGTGTAGATAAATGGTGCAGACCATCCCATAGGAATGGTGGGTGGCTCCTTCGCAAGTAAGGGTGCACAGGCCTGCAGCTACATTATTTTTTTTTCATGTTTTCTCTCTGCATGATTGGTTGAAAGCACCAAGGGTAGAGGCTGGGAGAATTTCAAATTGGACCTCCGACAGAAAAAGCCTGAGAGCTTCAAGCACAGAAACAAAGACAGGAAGATCTAGCGAGGCACCATGAAGAAGAAGGGGGGAAGCTGAAAATTGAAAATGTACTGAATCATGAAGGTATGGGAAGTAGAATGTGCACGGGTTAGGCTTGTGACATATATTGACTGGAGCCGGAAAGAAGAATGACATACATTGACTTGATGCTGGTGGAAAATGCGGGGATGGTACCAGACAGTTGATTATAAGAAAGGTCTCTGCAGTGGAGGGGGGCAGAACAAGTGGTGTATGGAGTGAGGAAGGGACGAGGGATATAGACAGGGACAAACAGAGTGAGGGTGGGACAATGGAAGCAGGGAGGACACATGAAACTTACATTGAAGTCAGGCCTGTTAGGGACAAGAATGTTGCCGGAATTGTGCCTTCAAATTTGTTGACTCCCAAGTCACTGTTAAAGCAGCAGTATACATTTGGCAGGGAGAGTGCCAAAAGTTTATAAAAGGTACATCGTGGGGGCAAAGTTGTGGGGCACGCTGTAAAACCCTGAACCCCGCTGTCAAATGTATACTGCCGCTTTAAAGAAAAAAAAAAGTTGTTTAAAGAATCACGGGGATAGGCTTTAAGCAAAGAAAAACGCTGACGTACTTCTTTAAATTACAGAAACCTGACTGTAAGAGACCAGTGCTGGTTCGTTCAAGTTGAACTAATCAAAAGCTTCAAAACAAATCAGTTGAGGCATGTCCAACTCCAGGTTTGCAGCTCTAGCAGCGCGGGTTTCCTAGAGAAGCAATTTAAGTTAAGGTCTGTAGAAGTTCGTTTCGAGCCGTTCCGCTTGTTCTTGGCGAAAACAAAACTCCTGCTTGGTTCGGATACTTGCTCAATCCTAGACGCCACGGTATATGTTCTAGGACCTTACTAATTCCGCTTGTTTTGGCAAACAAAGCTTCTGCTTGGATCGGATACTTGTTCAATACTGTAGAGAGAAACTCACTATGGCAACATGGCAGGATGGCAAGTTGGTATGGTAAACAGTAACTCACAGCACTTGCAGATGGGCCAGATTGGTCCAGCTATTGGGGAGGTAGCCTTCCAGGTTGTTTCCAAAAAGGGAGCTGAAGAGCAGGCAACAGGTGGACGCCAGAGTAATAACTGGTGGGAGTTCTGAGAAACTAGCGTAGGGATTATGAGTGATTTTCTTGTGGACCATATGAACAAACCTGCTTATGCATATCACCTCTAACGCGTTATGCTTGGACATTTCCACTGTTTTCCCAACACCCTTGCACTACTAGCTTGCAATGAGTAAGAAGGAAACCCCAAAAGGTCTTACATTGGAAAACAAAAGCTGACACTAAGCATCCGCACCAAGTGAAAGCCACAGTAAACTCACAGGACAGTGAGTGCTGTGAGCTGAGAGAGGTCTTCATTCAGCAATCGCCCCTGCCGGTGTGGATTGTCTGCCTCCAGATTCCTGCACACAAGAAGATACCGGCAAGATGCGGCGCACTCAGAGCACCTCAATCACAGCCATCGCCATGCTGGCACAGGTGGTCCTCCTCATGAGGCGCCTCAAAAACACACAAGAAGATGCCGGCAATGCTAGCCATCGCCATGGCTGGCACGTGTGGTGTGGTCCTCCCCGTGCCTCGTGGGGGTTGTGGCGTGGCGTGTGTGTGACAATGGTGCGTGTGCGCACTCAGAGCACCTCAATCCCAGCCATCGTCATGGCTCGCACGTGTGAAGTGGTCCTCCCCGTGCCTCGTTGGGGATGTGGTGTGTGACATTGGTGGAGGTGGAGAGCGAAGTAGGAGGGTGTAGTAGGAAGAAAACTAAAGCCGAAACCCTGGAGCTCACAGATACTGAAGGTTGGTGAGTCGAGTGACCCAAAAGGGGAAATCCGCAAATCGAAGGTAGGATAGATCCCTGCAGCAGGGAGGAAAGCAAGAGCAGAGCACGTCAGAGTTGCAGTCACGTCCGGCGAGGGGATGGGGATGAGGATGAGGATGGGGATGGGGATGAGGATGAGGATGAGGATGGGGATGGGGATGGGGATGGGGATGGGGATGGGGATGGGGATGGGGATGGGGATGGGGATGGGGATGGGGATGGGGATGGGGATGGGATGGGGATGGGGATGGGGATGGGGATGGGGACGGGGATGGGGATGGGGATGGGGATGTGTTATTTGTGCACGAACACGAACGAATCCGTTTCACCTGTGACCTGTCCCATCGGACTTGAGTGGAGCTTACAGTGAAGTGAGGGAAGTCATGTATTGAAGCTCTCTGGGTACCTCTCCTGTGGCGTTTCTGAGTCTCCGGACTTTCCTGCGCTCATGCACATGCAATCAGCCATAATAAGCGAATTACCATAGCCAAATGCGAGCTGGTATGGACTAAGTCACATGGTGACATGCAGAGTAAGAATAGGAGCAAGGAGCCGCGCACCACTGTACCGTACGTTCTTGTATGGCAATGATGCTCACAGATCATGTAGGCTTCTCAGGTGTGAAAGAAAGTGCAGGGAGGACAACTCCCCTGTGAGAAATGCCAAGTACTCTAGAGACCTGGTTGAAGAGAGGGGAGTGCGACACGGGACAAGAGAAGCCATTGGGGGTGGTGTAGCGTAGGAGCATGGGGACTGCTGCTTTGCATGCTGGACAATGGTGTGAGCTACAACGGTGGGGCTGGACGGAAAGCGAAGGAGCTAAGAAAGCATACGTATACGTGAAAAGGACAAGAAAACCGAAAGCAAGTTGGCAAATGTTGAGAAGTAATTTGGCTCAGCCTAAAATGTCCAACCGCAGTTGAACCATGTTTGGTACAAACGCAACAGGTCAGTTTCGGTTTCAGGGTTGGTTAGTGAATCCGGTTCCACCATACGGCACGTGGCTAAATGCGGCACACGCATTACACGAGGCTCCCAACTCCTTTTTAATTGCTTAGATGGTTTCGTTTGAGTCGAATTGTGCAATCCCCTGTTTTGAACAATATGCTACTGAAAATTCAGAAATGTCCCCAGCCATGTCTTTCCTCTAACGTCAGCTTAAGGCAATTGGTAAACTACTATAGCGAGGTTGGATGACACAGTGGAAGAAGAGCGACGGCGACATTGATTGCTCGCAGGAAAAGCATTGCCTTGCAAGGCGAACAGTGTTTGCATCGCGTGAAGTACAGTGTTTGCAGGTTGGTGAGGGAGGAGAGCCAGGCCAGTCCCTCCAGAGTGCCAGCGTGACTGATGCCATTGCCACCATCCATCGCAATAGCTCTGCGTGCACATGGGGCATGCAAGCAGCAACAGTGCACATGAAGGGTGCACGTGGTAGTACAGTGCAGTTAGTGGGAAATGGGACCACATGGGGCAGCCACAGGGATGCAGTGTTCAGGGGAAATGAGGATATTATTATTTGGAAGGAACGTGGACTTGACGAGTACAAAAGTACTTGTACAAGCGATTGGTAACGCCGTGGGAAAAGGGCCAGAAAGGAAATGGTAGTTGTGGAAGGGAAATGACTTCAGTCTTGAAAATTTGCAGGGAGCAACAATCAATTAAGCTGGAAAGAGCAGGATCAGGGGTGCATAGGAGTGAAACGAGGATGCTGGACGGGCATATTGGATGGGCAGGGCCTAGTCCAACATTCAGTGGAACTGGTTTGGAGCCATGGAAGAGCAGCACTCACAGGTGACTTTTGTGTCAGCTCAAAAATCAGGGCCTAGTGCAACATTCAGTTGACCTGGTTTAGAACCATGGAATGGAGCCATGGAAGAGCAGCACTCACAGGTGCATGAGACCAGTGAGACTGGCGAGGGATGGAATGGGCCCGAACAGATTTAAGCTGGTCAGATCACTGTGGGATGGGATGGGAGCGCGAACAACAGTGGAGATGGCAAGAGGAGGATAAAATGGAGTTATCTCTTGCAATGCAATGAAGGCATGCAGGTTGTGGTCCGGCTAGGCATAGGGAGGCATGGAAGGGAGGCATGCAAGGGAGGCATGCAAGGGCAGGAAGAGGGTATGGTCAGTAGGGTTGTGGCATGTGAATGCGAGAACGACATTGAAGGGCAGAGCAATACGAGGTTAGGGCGAAGCCAAGGCAAACGAAGATGAATGTAGACTGTAGTGGAGGGAAAGGTAGGTGGGTGGGTGGTGACGCACAGGAGTTGCAGAGTGGAAAGACCGGTGATGGAAGCAGGTATGGAGGGACTGGGGAAATTCCGATCAGGCCGCACTAGACTTGAATCCCTGTCAACACGCGCATGCATGCACGCAATACCAACCAGCTCCCATTCCTCCCCCATCTCCCGCCCACCCCAGTTCCCTTCCCCAAATATCCAGCCCTCCCCCATCCCACCCCCCACATCCTTCAACCCATTCCCCCCCCTTGTCCGGATTGCAATGCTCCCACAGACACACAGAATCCAACACAATTAAGAGGCGCAGACAGCGGAAGGGTGACACAGTGAAACACTGCGGGGGAAAGGAGAGGACAGAGGGGGCCAAAGAGGAGTAACGACGGAGCACTGAGGGGGCATAGTATCGCCCTTTGCCTTAAACGCTGCAACAGTCCCCTTGTAACCCGTTGGTGTAAGACTGGAGGCATTACCCCCGTGCTGCACCTGGTGTCAAACGTCCTCGTTCGGTTGGATCAGGGGGTTAGCTTTCCCAGGGACCTCAGAGTTCGGTTACCACATTCAAATTTTCTCTCCACCACAATTTTAGGCGAAAAACGTGGCTAGCAGAATTCGAACCCTTGGCTACGGATACCAATACAACGCCCGTGACATAGACAACAGCTTGATTGGGAGGCAATTACAGTAATGAGGGGCAATTAGGACATGTTGATAAAGGGAGACACACAGCACCGAGCAGAAATATAGGGTAACGAGAACAGCGAGTGGCGGAACAGTTCTCACAGGGAAACGACGAGCCCTTTGGGGCTGCAGGTGACGCCAGTCCATTCAGAGCACGCCGTGGTGGCGTTGCTGTTGTTCGCCCAAACGCCGCCCCACGCCTCCTTCAGCTGCAGCAGCACCTTCACTGACGGTACAGGGAATGCAATTGGGACCGGGGGGGGGGGGGGGAGGGGGGGGGGGGGGGGGAGGCGGGGGGTGGGAGGGGAGGGGGGGTGGGGCGGCGGGCACGTCGTGGCGTTGCTGTTGCCCGCCCACACGCCCCACGCCGCCTTCAGCTTGCAGCAGTGCCTTCACTGACGGCAGAGTGGATATGGGAGCACCTTTTCCGTAGCTAAAAAGGGCGGGGGCCTTAGACACGGCACGTGCGCCTGGGTCGGTGTGACGTCGCAAAAGGGCATTCCGCTGCGCCAAAATCACACCCTCGTCTTGACGCAGGTTAGCGAGGTGTTATACTCTCTCTGCTCGTGTGAAGTGGAGCTCTGATTGCGGACTCCGGATCCCATTCGAAATGGGAGGATGATATCGCGTGAGGAAGCGCGCTGCTCCCAGAGTGAGAAAGCGCGCTGAGCTCTCAGAGTGAGAAAGCGTGCTGAGAGCCTGGACTGGACAAACTGACTCACATTGCGAGTTTTCTAGAACGATTTCAGCGCTCGCGTCGGCCCCGGCAGCGCCGCCGGTAGCGGCGAGCTTTAAAAGAGAGCGGCGTTGGGCGCGGCTCGGCCGAGCGCGAGACAGCAGACGTTGTTTGGACAGAAGCCGCTGTGGGTCATCACGGCGCGGCGGTGGGCGACTAGTAGTACTAGTAGCGCCGTGCGTAGTGCTGGAAATCGAGCAAGCAGCAGCGCCGCCGACAGTGAGCGTGAGGGCTGCGAGGAGGAGAGCGCAAGCTCCGACATTACTAGTAGAGCGTGCTGCGGCACGCCCGGAAAAACGCATTATCACGATAGGCGGCGGCGTGCGGAATCTAAAGCGTATCGTGTGAGAAAGGGAGAGTTTGACAGGTCACAGCTTGGCAAACAAGTGGTAGCGAGGTAGGAGCTCCACTGAAGGAGGCTCGACTGAAGGAGCTCACGATGTTCATTCTTTAGCTCTGCTCGCCGCAGTGCGGTGCGGGAGGCGGTGGGGAAGGGGGGAGGAGGGGATACACGCCTGCCAAACGAATGCCCTCACCTCACCTCACTCCAGGTCAGGCTAAGTGAGGCTAGCTCGAAGCGCGTGGTACGTGGATGGGAGTGTCGTTGTGTACAAGAGCCGGCACCTGGAATCGCGTACACCTAGTAACCTAGCAAATGCCCTATATGTGCGATTCAAAACGGTCCAATTGCTTATTTGTATGTTAACATTACATTTAATAAGTTCTTAGACATACCCACAATGTTATAAACACTCTCCCTTGACTTTGATTAATACTTTCCAAATCCTTCCTAATCTTCTCTATTTCCTAGTGCCACGAGGCACTCTAATTTCTTCCCTTACATTTCATAGTCCCACAAAGTACTTTTCAACTATCGTTCTTGCATGCCGTAACGAATTTTTATAACATTCGTTACTTGGCACCTCATCAGCGCATACAAGACCGACCGTTCTTCGCCCATTACTTCTAACGGTGTTTTGCCACCTTCGTGCGTCAATTTTGCTGCGACCAGAAAGTGATTGTAGCCCAGGATCTACCTAGGAAGGTTCGCACGCAGTGAAATAGTTGGTGGGCCCTTGACCTCAATAGCAGAGTGTAAATGCTTGAGATGATAAAAACATGCAAACAAAGTGATATAAATAAGAGTACAAGGGAATGCGAAACGACTTATCTAGCCATGTACTCTAAGGGGTACATTCCCTTATTCATATTCACTCCCAACCGTGCGGCGTGTACAGTTTCGTAACTGTTCCCGCCAAAACCCATCCTGCCTGCAGCTGCCAGATGCTGTCTGCTTCCGACGGTCCAGATGCGTCCCAACTGTCTGACGGTTCGGGTCAATTCCAACCGTCTGACGCTTCGCGTTCGTTCTCGTTACTGCGTGCTTCTCTTTGCTGCGGTGAGGAGTGCACAGTAATATTAAATATTACTATTCGTAACAAATTTCACCTAACCACGCACTGCTGGACTTGGCTGAGACGGCCAACGCTTTGGAAAACCTCGCTTCCAGCATTGCACTAGCTAGCTCACAAGTGCTACGATCAGAAGATGATCACTACCAGGATCTACTCGAGAAGGTTCGCACATAGAGAAATAGTGTTGCTGGGCCCTTAACCTCAATAGCAGAGTGAATGTAAATGTTTTGAGATAGTTATAACATGCAAAAACAGAAAATATAAGTATGAGTACATTGAAGACGAAATGACCTAGCTAGCCATGTACTCTAAGGGGTACATTCCCTTATTCAAATTCATTCCCAACCGTGCGGCGCGTACAGTTACGAAACTGTTCCCGCTAAAACCATCCTGCCTGCAGCTGCCCAATGTCGTCTGCTCCGACGGTCCAGGTGCGCCCCAACCGTCTGACGCTTCGAGTCAATCCCTAACCGTCTGACGCTTCGCGTTCGTTCTTCGATACTGTGTTCTTCTCTTTGCTGCGGTGAGGAGTGCACAGTAAATATTACTATTCGTAACACCCCCCTTCACTCCTGCCCGTAGCTCGACTTGACCTGCTTGACCACGCCGCTGAGCTCGGAGCAGTGCTCATACTGCTGGCGTGGCAATTACTTTGGTCAAGTGAAGTCTGCTGCCATGTCACTGGTCGGGCAATAGGTCAAATTGACCTTGCCCTTGTCCACCTCGTCCTTCACGAAGAAATACCGCAGCGCAATGTGCTTGGTGCGGTTGACGAAACCGGGCTTGTTCACGATGCGAATCGCGCTCTGGTTGTCGCAGTGAAGACAAAATGCGGGCGAAGCTGGGATTTTCGCTTCGTGCAGGAGTTCTTGTAGGTAGAGGCCTTCGCAAACTGCTGCGGTTGCTGCAATGAATTCCGCTTCAGCTGACCAGCTCTTGCTTCTGCTTGAGCTCCAAGCACAGGGCAACCAGCTCCTGCTTCTGTGAGTTCCAGGAGATTGGCCCCATTGGTTCGAGTCGGAACAGGAAGCCAGTCCTAGACCATCAATTATCGGGGTCTGCTGCATGATCGACGTCCACATAGCTGATGAGATTGAAATAGAGTTGGTGCAGTTGAGTAGCACAGCCATCTTAGGCGTTGAAATGAAGAACTGTAGGGCGCGCTGCAGGTCTAGGAGATTCTCAGCCGTTGGTTTGCGTGAGTACTGCGCTAGCTGACTTGCGATGTACGAGAGTTCTGGCCCAATGGTGACAGAGGCGAAGAGGAGGCATCCCAGCTGCTGCTGGTAAGTTTGAACTCCAGCAGGGGTTAGGGCTTTGTTGTCAGGTTTGTGGTTCGGTCCAGGGGTTCGGTAGGGAGTTGAGAGGGGTGCAGGTGAGATGTTGAACCGCTTCCCTAACTCCTCTGTGTACTTAGCCGCTGAGAGGTGAATGGCCTCAGGCGCGTAGGAGATGATGAGGCCTAAGAACTGCTTCAACTCGTAGTTGCACGTGATGTCAACGTGCCCCGCCAAGGCCTTCTCGAACCGCTCCAGTAGCTCGTTGTTTGAGCCTGTGTAGAGCAAGTCGTCGACGTAAACTGTGAGGAGAATGTATTCGCCGCAGAAATCGCGGCAGTACATCCCTGGATCGTGGGGCATCTGCTTGAAACCGATTTCAAGCAGAATGTTGTGCAGATACTGCTGCCACAGCCTCGGTGCCTGTTTGATCCCGTAGAGCGACTTGCGTAGTTGACACACGCGCGAGTCTCCTTCACCGTATGTATGCGGCTGCTCTTCGTAGATCACGGCAAGTACTAACGCGTACAGGAAAACGTTCTTCACGTCGATCTGATGGAGTGGCAGGCGCCTTGCAGCTGTGATGGCGAGCAGGATTCGAACGGAGGTGTGGCGGCTGACTGGAGCGAACGTCTGGTCGAAGTCGATGCCATGCCTCTGGTCATAACCGCGCACCACCCAGCGCGCCTTGAAGCGCTCGATCGTTCCATCCCCTCCGGTCTTCACGCGGAAGACCCACTTCCCCAAAAGGATTCTTGCACCTTTGATTGCCGCACGGTCGACTAGCACCCAGTTTTCTCGGGACTCGAGAGCGCTTTGATCTCCGCGTCCATCGCCTCGCGCCACTCCTTGTTGTGTGGTCCAGAGAGAGCTTCGCGCGGGTTTCGGGGCTCGATGACAGGTGGAGCCTTCGAGGTTGCGGTGTGAAGCCCGAGCAGCTGCAGTCCTGAGACGGTGCTGTTGTGGCGACGTTGCGGGATGACTTCCTGCACATCGTCGTCATCGCTCTCTGGTTCAGGTGGCGCTGGTGGTGCTGCGCCTCTGCCGCTTCCGCCTGTTCCGCTTCCGCCTGTTCCGCCCATTCCTCCTCCCGAGGAATCGTCGGCGTCGTCGTCGTTGTTGCGCTGATCTTCCCATGCGAACTCACTCCTAGTGTCCTGCCCTAGGATTGCTGCAACGGCTTCGTCTTCGGGCGTTGCGTAGCGTAAACGCGGTTCGCGTTCGTCTGCTCGTCATGGCGGAATTGCTCGAGGAAGAGTCGCTCGTAGAAGATTACGTCGCGAGCGTGGGCGATTTTCTGACTGAGGAGGTCCAGCACGATCCATGCTTTGTGCTCGTGACTGATGCCGAGGTGAATGCCCCAGCGCGCGCGACTGGCGAATTTGCCGATGGTTGATGTCGGCGGGCGGTACTGCACCATGCACCCCCACACGCGGAGCATGGAGGTATCTCTCTTAGTCCCGGTCCATTTGACGTGCGGGGACATATTGCCGATGATTGCGATGGTTGAAAGTAGGTTGTGCACCCGCACGTCATTGTACATTGCGTATGTCCAGTAGATTGGCGGCAGCTTCGACTGCTTCATCAGCGCTCACACCTTCGTCATCAGTGTGCGGTTCGTCAGTTCGGCTACGCCCTGCTGCTGGTGTGCGTAGGGGAGAGAGGTGTGATGCTCGATCCCTGTTAGCGCCAGGCAAGTCTGCATTTGGTTGCTCCTGAACTCTGCTGCACCGTCGGATTGCCAGATCTTAAGCTTCTTCCCGGATTGTCGCTGCGCGTGCACCAGCCAAAGGCGGAC